ACAGACAGAGAGAGAGAGAATTTTTCTTCAATATAAAGAAACAGACTCATTGAGGAGACGGACAGGTTTGTTTATTTTGTAATATTTCATTAATTTTTTTCTAAAAAGTAAAAAGTAACCAAACGGAGTAACGCGGTGCGTCCACCCAACACACATGAAAGAAAACATCATGCCTTGCACCTTATCCCAAAACAAGAGCCTTTCATCACAGATACAGAATAAAGGAGGCAAAAATAAATAGTCAGAGTCACGAGTGAAGACAATAAACAACGGTCTGAGTGGGAACAGAAGGCCTCTTCATTCTAACAGCGACGCACCACCAGCAGTCGCTCCACTGCAAAAGCAAAGCAGCAAGTCGTACAGCAGAATGAGCTGAAGGTCAAAGGTCAGACTTAAATAATAGCTGCACAACGTGGAGGTGAGACCGGCTCTACAGGACAAACACATAGGTCCTCTACCGACAGCCACACCGCAACAATCAACACCCTTCCATAAATAAATAGAGGAACTTTTCACACGTTCATTCGATCATCTGTGCAAACGCGTCATTAAGGCAGTAGACGGAGAGGAGCTTTTACAAAGTATTTACAACTATTTACAGTCGTGCAATCTATTACAATCTTCATCTGTTAGAAGACAGAAAAAAAACCTTCATTTTGGTTCATCAATAAAAAAAAAACCTCAGCAGCTTCTTCATTTAAAATGTAAACCACCTGTGGCGTCACACGGTCACGGAGATCAAACAAAAGCAACACACAAACAATGTCAAGTGGGAGCAATAAATATTAGCGACGAAGCTCTGTTCAGTGCCTTTGTGAGACGGGAGCCGGTGACGTTCACAAGCCCGCTCTGGACTGAGAGGAGGCCACAGCACGAGGAGCTGTCTCCGTCCAGGTGGAAGGCACGTCTGCTTCACGACACAGCAGCTCAGGACTTTCAGCGTCGGCGTGCAGTGCAAAAACTCATGTAGCTGCTAAATGCAGTGAAGTTCATGTGGCGGCTTAGCAGGTTAGTACGGACGGTCCAAAAGGCATCAGAAGAGTCAAAGCTCTGGGAGAGAAAGCATCATCCTCTGGACGCCTCCTGCAGCAGCAGCTGCAACCCCCCCCCCCCCCCCCCCCCCCATTTTAGTTCCCTAAAATACATTCAAGCTCATTCATCTCCTGTACTTAACTTGGTGGAACTTTTATCTCACTTCAACTTAAAAAAAAAGTCATTTTCTATGACGACATAATGACACAATTAATAGTTTTTAGGGATTTTTTTTTAACTTCATTTACGTAAAAATGATTTTAATCTAATTTAATGAAGAGGTGCAGCATTGGTGCCACCCTGCCAAGTCAAGTTTTCTAGATCTGGTCCGGCTCAACGGGCGAGCAGGAAGAGCACAGATCTGGAGTCGGAGACGTGAACCACAGAATGAGGTCGGGGGTGTGTGTGTGTAGCATGGACGTAATTGGGGGGGGGGGGGGGGGCATGTCCCCCCCACATTTTCCAAAGTCAAGTTTTGACCCCTGCACTTTTTACCATCCAAAAACAACATTACTTTATATTAAATTGACACTGGTTGAGCTCTAGGACCAAGCGGAAAACAACCTTTTGTGTTGAAGCCTGTTTCCCAGAACATTCTGTAAAGATCCCCCCCCCCCCCCCCCCCGTGTCCCCCCCCACTTCTAAAGTGAAAATTACGTCCATGGTGTGTAGAGCAGCACTTTGTGTTTTTTTTTTTCAGAAGAAAAACAATCTATTTAGGGAAAAGGTAGTGCTTTCTTCATAGGTCTTTAGGTCAGGCCATGTCCATGTCCTCCATGCTCACCATTTGTCTCTGCAAGACAAAGTTCCATTTAATGAGGAAAAAGGGTCAAACGACTCAAGCTCATGTGTTTACTGATGACAGCTAACCTCAGGGTAAACATGGCCGTCAAAGCCGCTTCTGCAGATGCGCACCTCGTCCTCGGTGGTCTTCTGGTAGACTGGATTAGCAAAGTGGATGGTGTTGGTGTTCTTCACGCGCCAGTGCCTCCATAGCATCACTGCTCCAAACGACAGCATTGCTAGCACCACTGTGGAGGGAGGGGGGATTGTAAGCTGGTTTTGTTGAGTGAAAGTGACAGAAAACTACGAAGACACTTGTTTGTGTGGATGTTAAAGAACTCTGGGATGAAGGTGGGACTTACCAATGGGCAGAACAATGTAGAGAGCAAGAGGGTGGGAGGAAGGAGCCTCCTCAGGCGTCACCGACTGCTTCCTACCTGAAGGTAAGAGAAAGATTTCTTTGGTCAAGTCTTAGCGTCAGACTGAAAGCCCGGTATTCCTTGATGGATTGAATTTACTCTTCACTGCTATCGACAGTTTTACACTAAAATCCTCTGAAGCTGTTTTGGTCAGCTCTTCAGAATAACATTACGCCAGGTCCAGGGGCGGATCTACAAGGGTGGCATAGGGTGGCAATTGCCACCCTAAAAGAAAGCCTTGCTACCCCTGCTGCCACCTCAGCTGGCAGCTATAAATTCAAGAAAAATCTAAGTTTTTCAACTCTCAGGCTCATAAAGACCTATTTGCAGTCTGCTTTGACAGAGAAAAGACTATGAAGCTAGGCTGTACTCAGCATTGAATCAAAACGGGAAAAATCTTTGGATCTTGATGAATGTGTAAATTGTTTTGCTGAGCAACATGGAAACTGCCGCAATCAGCTGTTGTAGGAAGGACATAATTTCATTATGTGTTTTATTTTCGTGATGGGCCTGTAAGCTTATTAAACGAAGACCCAAAACAAATGAATATGTAAACACTGGGAAAAGAAAAAGGAAAACGTGTTTCTGAGTGAACAATAAAACCAAAGTACAATATCTTGTTGCAGTGAAATATTATATATATATATATATATATATTTTTCATATATGTATTGCCACCCTAGAAAAATGTTTGCCCCTCTTCTGCCACCCCATAAATAATTTTGTAGATCCGCCCCTGGCCAGGTCTCATGAGGTCAGTCGGTGCCCAGAGTGTGCTGTGTCTTAGCCTCGTTTGTGGGAGGCCATCTTGAATTGTGCTGACTTCAAAAGTGAATCAGTTGGAGATGAAGATCCGATCATGACTTTATGTGAGTTTGATTAAAATCTGCCCAACTGGTGTACGATGTTTCAGTGACATGTAATCTGTACAACATACAGGACCATCACAGTAACAGATGGAAGAGCGTATGAAATGTATTTATTAACCCTCTGGGGTCCAGGGTGTAATTTGCCGTTTTTAGAGTTTTCCTTTGTATTTCCAAAATAAAAACCATAATCGCTGCCTTACGTGGTATCAATCTTTTCAGCACAACCTGGACTTTATGAATTTATACTTATTTTTTATATTTGGACATAAAGGGGTTGCATATTGGACCTTAAATCACTCAAAAACATAAAATCCGAATTGGAAAAAAAGTTGTTTATTTTACTGTGAAACCAACAAACATTTATGGCGAATGTTTTTTGTAATTTAGAATGGTAATATAGACTGTACATTTATAAAAAATATGAATAAATATAGCAAATACTAATTAAAAAAAATTATTAGCCCTCTGGGTTCCAGGGTGTAAATCATCGTTTTTGACTCATTTTGGTTTTTCTTTTGTATTTTCTAATAAAAACAATAAATATTGCCTTATGGGGTATCATTTTTTTCAGGACAACCTGGACTATCTGAATTTTTACTTATTTTATTAATTTGGCAATAATGAACATGCATTTTGGAGTGGGGAGTGGCTCAGTCTCACGCCGCGGAGATCTGTCAGCTGCGTGGCGCCACCCACTCCTCTTGTTGGATCTCCGAGGAGCTGCATCTCTGCCTTCATCCTCTACGTCACCATGACCCAACTCTTCTATGAGGAAGGATGGATCCGCCACATCGTCATCAACATCCTCGCTATTTGCCTCAGACTCCGGCTGAGAGTCTCTGTCCACTTCCTCTGCTTCCAGTTCAAAAAACAGCCGTACTATCTGAACTGCCTGGTGGACATTTATCCTTCTCATCATCCTTTATACAAGCCTAATAAAAGCCTACTAAACTGCAGAGACAACATATCTGTCCGGATCGCTCCAAAATATGAAGTTTACCGTCAATATCTGTCTAATTGTTTGTTGTTACTCCGTTCGCGCCACTCCTTTCCCCGGGAAGCGGCTCATTTTTGCGCATATCTCGTTACTCGTGCAGCCTTCCTCTCTCTCTCAGCTACATAATGATGCTTTTTATCATTTGAATACGTGAGACGTCCACCAACAGCAACAGGATCTCATGTTTTTGTGGTTTTTTATGTTCTCAAGCACATTCCCTCTCACGGATTACTAAACTGCTGTTTTGACAAATTATCAGATTGTCTAAAAATAGGTTGTTTTTTAGTTTAGTATAACTCCGCTTTTACGTTGCCTATTAACACAATTTAAAAACTGGGGTGTAGTTTATAATCTCCCTTTTAAAGCTGAATTGAAACCGAAACTCAGGGAGGTGGAGTCTTGCTGCTACAGCGTCCCAAATCAGACCTGTTCTAAAGACGTGTATACACGTCCGTGGACCCCCAGAGGGTTGAGTCATGCATTGAAATAATTTTATCAGTTTTCCTTCACAGTTTATGATGTTTGCACAGTTTTCCAGGAGGTTTGGAGAAATGCTCGGGTTACCTTCTGCAGGAACAACGGCTTCCTCTGTGCGCTGTGTGGTCTGGATAGGTGAGGTAGTTGTAGACGTTTGGGCGGTGGAGGTGGTGGTCGTGGTGGTCTGGCTGGTAGGAGCTTGGGGCGCTGATGAGACATAATAAATAAATAAAATTACAGGGGCTGCTCTTAGGATGCAATGTTGTAGGAAGAGTGTATGAATGCATGCAGCGAAGGGAACACCTACCTTCCACACATTTCTTTCCATCAGGACCAAGCGTCGTGCTGTCGGAGCAGGAGCACGTGTATTTAGGAGCACGGTCCCCAGTGAGCGGAGCCGGGAGGCACAGAAACTCACAACCTCCATTCACACTGTGGCTGTTTCTGCACCAGTTTACCCCTTTAATCCACAACAAAGGCAGTTAGACAGTCGAACAAATACCCCCTCTCATGAAGTCTGTGTAATGTTAGCTCTTAAACGTTGGACACAGTGTATGCAATAATGTATATGTTTTTATTTTGAATGGAGTGGAACCCAGGAAGAACAGCCTTCACTATGGTGAAGACTCACGGGGATACGTAGATAAACAAGTAAACAAATAACCATGTCTGTACCAGCTGACTGCTTGAGGTCGTGGTATAGGACGATGTCCTCTGGACGTTCTAGGTCAACTGCCAACGTTGTGATGTTCTTTCCTGTCAGGCGGTTGGCGCTGAAAACAGCCCCGTTGATGATGTCAGTCCAATAGACTTTCTCCTGGAAAACCATTTAGATAACAGTTATGAAGAGTTCCTACAAGTGGTCCAAATATCAAAGACCAACAGGCTGACTGGAATCACATCGTCTTCTGATATCAACACTAACCTCAAAGACAGCCAGCGAGGACGGCCAGCTGAGCTGCTCCTCGCTATGGATGAGCGTGTGTCTGCTTCCTCCGTAGACGTCGATGCTGAAGATGGTGTGCAGTTTGGCGTCGACCCAGTACAGACGCTGGTTGACCATATCTGTTCAGACAACAGGGTAAACGCCGTTCGCATGAGTCACTACAGAATAAAGGAATGGTTTGTTTTTGTTAAAAAAAAAAAAGCTCTGTTTACCGAGGGTGATGCCGTTGGGCCGTTCAATGCCCTCCTTTACCAAGATGACACGACCAGCACCATTTAGTCCACACTTCTCAATTTTAGGCTCCTCCCCCCAGTCTGTCCAGTACATGAAGCTGGAGAAAAAAGCATTACACTAATCAATGATAAAGGTCGGCGCATAAAAGCTGAACTGGATCCTAAACAGACTCAAAAACCGAGATATGTACTGTACGAGAGGGTTTACGTACTTGTTCACTGGGTCGACTGTGATAGCTTTTGGCTTCCCGAGGTTTGTCGTGATGAGGGTCTTCCTCTTGACGCCATCTGTCGATGCTACAGAGATGCTCTTCAAAAGGCTGTCAGTCCAGTAGATGTTACCATAGATCCAATCCACTGCAAGTCCCTCTGGGGTCTCAAGCCCGCTGCCAATAACTTCAATGTGACGAGAAGAGTCGTCCACCTCATCTATACCGGAGCTGTGGGCGGACAGGGAAACAACGTAGACGTTAGAGCAGGAGGCTACTCATAGAGAAGGAAAGTGTCCTGACAAAAAGAGTGCGCTTAATACGAATGAATTCATTTTGACCTTTACCTGTAGATTTTCTTCTCAGACAGGTCCGACCAGAAGATCCTCTTGTTTGGTATGTCCAAGTCCAGAGCCACTGCATTCTTCAGCTGAGGGATCAGCCTGACGTACTCACTGTGGTCCACCGTGATCTTCCTCACCTCATGCTGGCTTGTGAAGAACAACATGGGTACAGTCCCTGCAGGAGACGGACCTCATTAGTATCCAGACAGGACGTTTAGCCTCCCGCGAGGAGGTTCATGACGTCTACGGTTTGTTACCTGATCCAGCTTTGCACGCGTTGCTCACTGGGTCGATCTCATAGCCATCGTAACAGTCGCACTTGTAGCTGCCAAGCAGGTTGATGCACAGCTGACTGCACGTGTCCGGCTCCTCACATTCGTCGATGTCTGCAGATGGACAGATGGACACAGGTTAAGGAGATATTGGTGAAAAACCATTTCTGAAGTGGGCATTTGTTAAGTTTTTCCTCATTTGTCACAACTTGCAGGGAGTTGAAGGACATTTTTTTGGTTGTAATTAGTTACTTGTGCCACCAGATGGCGCTGCATCACACACAGTGGCCCTTAAAACTTACCTTGGCAGGTTTTGTTGTCAGACTTCAGACTGTATCCAGCAGGGCAGGAGCAGTTGTAGCCAATCTTCAGGTTATTGCAGGTATGGGAGCAGCCACCGTTTGCTGTAAGACACTCGTCTACACCTGCGGGAACAAAACGGCACAAGTCTCTCAGTAGGACTCACGGCAGCTGATGTGAACGTTTAGTTGTACAGCAACTCTGGGCTACTTACCACATTGACCCTCAGGTTGATCCGAGCCATCGCTGCAGTCTCTGTCCTTGTCACACACTTTGTCCATGCTGATGCACTCCCCGCTGCCACACTTGAACTGGTTTGGGTCTTTGCACGCGTCTTCTGTGAAGAAAAAATAACCTATAAGTATTATAAACATTATTGACAGCGCCATAGTCTCCCCCTCCCCTCACGTCAAGAGTCTGGGTGTCATTCTTGACAGCTCACTTTCTTTTCAGGCTCACATTAATAACATAATTCGGTCAGCATACTTCCATCTACGTTCCATAAACCGTCTCCATCCCTCACTGACCCCTCACACTGCCGCCATTCTCGTCCACAGCCTCGTCACCTCCTGTATCGACTATTGCAGTTCACTTCTTTATGGTCTCCCCAACAAACTCCTTCATAAACTGCAAATGGTCCAGAATTCAGCAGCCCGTATTATCACCAGAACCCCTTCCTTTCACCACATCACCCCGGTTCTCCAGCAGCTTCACTGGCTCCCAGTTAAATTCAGGTCCATCTTCAAAATTCTCCTCCATACCTTCAAAGCAATCCACAACCTCTCTCCTCCATATATCTCAGACCTTATAAGTATTCACACCCCATCCCGTTCACTCAGATCTTCTTCTTCCATCCATCTTGCGGTTCCTTCTGCCCGTCTCGCTACCATGGGGAGCAGAACTTTCAGCCGCTCTGCTCCCCGTCTCTGGAACTCACTTCCCCCAGACATCAGGAACATCGACAGTTTTACCCTTTTCCAATCAAAACTCAAAACACACATGTTTAAATCTGCCTACAACCTCTGATTTTATTGAACTGTTTCTCTCTTTGTTTTTTTCTTGTTTGGGTTTTATTATTGTTTTATTGTATTTTATTACGTGTTTTCTGTAAAGTGACCTTGGGTGTCCTGAAAGGCGCTTTGAAATAAAATTTATTATTATTATTATTATTATTATAAACTGGTCTTTGGGTAGACAGGTGGGTGGGTGAAACTACAGCAGACTGACAGACTCACCTGTGTGGCACCCAGCCTCATCACTGCCGTCTAAGCAGTCGTGCACCGAGTTACACCTCAGGCTGTCGCTGATGCACGTGCCGTTATCACACCTGAACTCATCGTGGCGGCAAGTTGGGTGACCTGGAAAAGAAAGGAAAAGAATGTAAAACAAAAGACAAAAAGCACAGAGAAGTCAACGTTTCATAGCACGGACGCAGATTTTTATCTCGTGTCCAAAATTTTAAAGACAAATTGCCGTCTCACTGCAGTTGAGCTCATCCGATCGATCCGTGCAGTCTATCCCTCCGTCACAGCGCCAGCTCTGGTGGACACACTCCCCGTTTGCACACTCAAAGTCGTGTGCTCCACATTTTGAAGGCCTCTCCCTCGGCTGTTTATCCAGGCAGTTCTCTGGCCACTCGTCGGACCCGTCCCGACAGTCTCGGTCTCCATCGCAGCGCCATATGTCAGGAACACACACAGAGTCGTGGCACTGGAAGGACTGAAGGCTGCAGGTGGGTTTGGGGCAGGAGCTCTCGTCCGACCCATCGGAGCAGTCGTTTTCTTTGTCACAGACGAAAGCCTTGGACACACACTGGCCGTTGGCGCACTGAAACTCTTCGTCTCGGCATTGTTTTGCAGCTGCGTTGAAAACAAAAAGATCCTGACATCATGTTGGTGTTCTGACTGCAGGCGTGTGTGTGAGACAGGTGTGTAAGTGTAAATTATCCAAGTCTAAGCCAGATTTTGTACTTAGTCCCTATCTATTATCTAATGTTTACATCTTTGGTTCCATATTGTTTCATTTTCTGAAGCATTTCCCTCAGCCTGCATGACACATGAAATCCTGAAAGTTCATCTTCAATACAAATGCTTCCACGCTGGACTCTCTCATGCGTCATCGATTACATTTAACCGTTTGTTGAGGGGCTTTCCTGTTATGAACTTACTGCAGTTCGTCTCATCGGCGCCGTTTCTGCAGTCGGCGCTGCCGTCGCAGTGCCAGCTCTTCGGGATGCACTGGTTCAGCGGAGCGCCACAGTTGAACTGGGACTCCAGGCAAGTTTTGGTAGCTGTGGATAAAAGCAGAACAATTAAATCCACTAAAAAAACATATAGTTTGGCTATTTTCTGTAGAAATATCCAACAAAATTTAGCCAATTTCAATTTGTTTTATAGACCCAAAATTACCAGATGCTTTCTGAGGAACTAGTTCTGATCAGCAGCTGAATTACATGGTTTCAGGTGGAATCCTACAGTGTGTTTCTGTGAAGAGCTTAAATCCTATAGGACTGATGAGCTAACGGCTAGTCTGAGCACAGCAGATTGCTACTTTCTTAACCCTAGTATCCGCGTCTTTTGAACAGGTCTAATTTGGGACGCTGTAGCAGCAAGACTCTGCCTCCCTGAGTTTCGGTTTCAATTCAGCTTTAAAAAGGAGATTATAAACTACACCCCAGGTTTTAAATTGTGTTACTAGGCAACGTAAAAGCGGAGTTATGCTAAACTAAAAAACAACCTATTTTTAGACAATCTGATCATTTGTCAAAACAGCAGTTTAGTAATCCGTGAGAGGGAATGTGCTTGTGAACATAAAAAACCCACAAAAACACGAGATCCTTTTGCTGTTGGTGGAAGTCTCACATATTCAGTTGATAAAAAGCATCATTATGTAGCTGAGAGAGAGAGGAAGGCTGCACGAGTAATGAGATGTGCGCAAAAAGGAGCCGCTTCACGGGGAAAGGAGTGGCGTGAACGGAGTAACAACAAACAATTAGACAGATATTGATGGTAAACTTCATATTTTGGAGCGATCCGGACAGATATGTTGTCTCTGCAGTTTAGCAGGCTTTTATTAGGCTTATATAAAGGATGATGAGAAGGATAAATGTCCACCAGGCAGTTCAGATAGTACGGCTGTTTTTTGAACTGGAAGCAGAGGAAGTGGACAGAGACTCGCAGCCGGAGTCTGAGGCAAATAGCGAGGATGTTGATGACGATGTGGCAGATCCATCCTTCCTCATAGAAGAGTTGGGTCATGATGAGGTAGAGGATGAAGGCAGACACGCGGCTCCTCGGAGATCCAACAAGAGGAGTGGGCGGCGCCGCGCAGCTGTCAGATCTCCGCGGCGTGAGACAGAGCCACTCCCCACTCCAAAATGCATGTTCATTATTGCCAAATTAATAAAATAAGTATAAATTCAGATAGTCCAGATTGTCCTGAAAAAAATGATACCCCATAAGGCAATATTTATTGTTTTTATTAGAAAATACAAAAGAAAAACCAAAATGAGTCAAAAACGGTGATTTACACCCTGGACACCAGAGGGCTAATAATTTTTTTTAAATTCATTATTTGCTATATTCATTCATATTTTTTTATAAATGTACAGTCTAGATTACCATTCTAAATTATAAAAAACATTTGTCATAAATGTTTGTTGGTTTCACAGTAAAATAAACAACTTTTTTCCAATCAGATTTTATGTTTTTGAGTGATTTAAGGTCTAATATGCAACCCCTTTATGTTCAAATATAAAACATAAGTATAAATTCATAAAGTCCAGGTTGTGCTGAAAAGATTGATACCACATAAGGCAGTGGTTATGGTTTTTATTTTGGAAATACAAAGGAAAACTCTAAATTAGTCAAAAATGGCAAATTACACCCTGGACCCCAGAGGTTCATTAAAACATCTCTAATCCCCAAACTTTCACAGAAGTTCATACAAACGTTATTTTATCAAACCTGCAGCCTAAACACGTTTCACTGCAGGAGTTTCTGATGACCGTGTAACACGACGCTGACGGCAGCGAAAAGGTTTATAGAATAACGTGTTTCTGACGGCGTTGGCATTTAGGACATTGGATTTGTTTGACAGCAGCGATGCTCAGACTAGTTAATAGCACATCAGTCCTGTAGGATGTAAACATCAATTCTCCAAAGTGAGGCTGTTAACCTGCAGTGGGTGCCAGTACCAGAGTCAGATAGTAGCTTTTACACACAAAGACACTAAAATGCCCCTTTAAATGCCTCTTTATCCTATTTGTCTCCATTTCATCTCATTTTCCCTCACTTAGACCTGGAGGTGTAGACAGGTTGCTAAATGTGCTGGTAAGTTAGGAATGTTTTTCGCATATGACATCATAACTCCATCACACAGGAACCAGAACGCTGGAGGAACTCACCACAGACAGCAGGAAGTTCATCGCTCGCATCGCCACAATCATCAGTACCGTCACAGATCCACCTGCGCGTGATGCACCTTCCGTTTCCACAGGTGAACTGGGTGGAGCTGCATGCGAACGCTGTATCTGTGTGTGACAGAGAGCGACGTTGCATGAGGACACACACACACATGTTAATTCACCAACTTAAAACATAGATAAAGATTGCTATCAGCATAGACGTAATTTTCACTTTAGAAGTGGGGGAGGGGGGCACGGGGGGGGGGGGGGGGGGTATCTTTATAGTACGCTCTAATGGGAAACAGGCTTCAAAAACAAACGGTTGTTTTCCGCTTGGTCCTAGAGCTCAACCAGAGTCAATTTAATACAGCGTAATATTGTTTTTGGATGGTAAAAAGTACAGGGGTCAAGACTTGACTTTGGAAAAACTGGGGGGGACATGTCCCCCCTGTCCCCCCCCCAAAATTACGTCCATGGCTATCAGGAGTTTTACATCTCTAACTGACCAGCTTGAGTCAACAGGGCTTTACATCCTCATTGGGTTAATGTTTAACGCCAAACTCCATACAGGACATCTCAGAGAGCAGACTGTGTGTAAGCGACGGGGTCCGCGGTTACCTGACTCATGGCTGTCATAGAGGAAGTTTCACCGCACAAGCGTCGAGTCCATTCTAGACTGTAGAGCCGATTCAACTAGTGGTGTTCACTTCCTTTTTTTGGTTTTGTTCTTTTCGTTTAGGTAAAATAGCCTCGTCGTTCTGGTTAAAGTCTATTATGGTTTCATCTCAGCTGAAAGAAGGTGACACCTGAGTGACGCTGGGCGCTGGGGGCCACCCACACGCCTTAAATCATTCATGTCCCTGTCCCTGTCTCTGTCCCACCTCACATCTCAGCCGGAGGACAGAGACATGTCAGTCTGTGCCTTTAAGACAATGGTATGGGAGGAGTTGAACAATCACACCACCAGCAGCTGATTGGTCCCAGGCTGGCATTCCTAACAATAGCATCTCATCAGTGAGCCACGGGCGAAGGCGGAGGCTCCAGCACAATGAAGCGTGTCAGCGCGGCACTCAGCTCAGGTGTGACAGATTCTGATGAGGTTTCAGGGACGTGATAAAAGAGCAGAAGCTTTCACAACTCTGGACTCCACACAGAGCCACCTCCCTCTGCTTTTATAGCACAGAGGGAGGAAGTTGGCTGTTTCATCCTTTAACCACTCCAGTTTCTTCTGAAAAAAGGAACAAGCCCTCTCCGTGTCCCTAGAAAACACACACACACACACACACACACACACACACACACACACACACACACACACACACACACACACACACACACACACACACACACACACACACACACACACACACACACACACACACACACACACACACACACACACACACACACACACACACACACACGGCCTCCGACACATGGCAGGAAGTCCAGAACGGGATAAAGGAGTTTCAAATTCATAGAAACACACATTTCCACTCAAGTTGGAAAATGTTCCTATTTAAGGAATCATTAAAGAGGGACCACAAGTAGGCCGCATGCAGTCATTTCCTGATGTGGGTGGAAAATTTGAACCCTGTTTTCATTCTCCATCTCCCAAACCTACCGAGAGCTTTAAAAATAGCAAACTAACCCTTGTTGTTACCTACTGTCTACTTCTTATGTTCCCTTTAAGTGTGCCCTGCTGTTGCTAACGATGAACTGTGATGCAAATCAGTTAAAATCACAAAGAGCAGCTGGAAGTTCTTCCTTTGCTCCTCCAGTGTGATCTCACCAGCAGCTGTGACTCATGTCTGAGCCGTTTCACCTGTTGGACGGCAGAAACTCAGCTGGTTGGGTCAGGAGGAGGTGTGACAGCAGCTCTGCTGTCCTGAACAATGAGGCCCAAACATCGGGTTAATTAATAACCAGGGTGTTTTGTGCGTTATTCTGGTTTGGTAACTGAGCTGCGTTTTATTATTAGGCTAATATTTGTGCAGCATGGATGTTCAGTGTGAGCGTGGCTCAGACTGAAGACAGCTGTTCAGTTGAAACCCACAAAACAAACAAACCTGCAAACCACCAAGTTCTTTTTTTCAGTATTTAAGGGAAGTAATCTTTACATCTTTCTAAACATTAGAAAGATCCAATATAAGGTTTCTGTTCCCTGAATGTCAAGGAATGCAATGTTTAGTCTGTGGAGCAGCCAAGCAGAAGTGATGCTGATGTTTTACACCTCAGCAGCAGATCAGACAGGATGCAACACATTTCTTGCTTTTGGACGAGGCTGCAGCACACACGTGGGTCTTCTCTGTTTGCCTTTACTCCCACTAACTTTTGAGAACTTGCTTGTAAATGATCAATTATTTATTGCATCGTTTATTTTGTAGAATCTGTTTTGAAAACACTAAAAGTTAAATTTACAGAGTAAGTTTAAGCTACTTAAAATGTTTGCAAACCTTTCAGTATTATTTGTTTAAAAGCGGGGACGAATCACAGAAACTGTTAAATAAAAACTCGTGGCGCAGTTAGAAGCAGCAGGAAAACAAGGTAACAAAGTCAAAGACGCGTTTCTGATCTAGCCCCATGCTCGTTTCCGCCCTCTGCCTCTTCCTGACGGTCCGCGGCTGTTTAGCTGCTAGCATGTTGGTCCCGCCTACTGGTGGACGTGATTGGCTGCTCTCAGGGCTCAGCATCCAAACGGACCAATCACAGCGCTGTGCGTACATTTCACTCAGTAGCGAAACTTATTTAGGAACGCCTGCAGAACTAGATCAGCCGGGTTCATCTCGCTGCAAACCAACCGATTTAAGGCGTTCATTAACAAGAGAATGTCGAGTTAACAGGATAAAAATAAAGTTATTTCTAAACTAATTTATAAAAGCGTCTAAAATGTTCCCCATATTAAATGTTTATCCTCGAACCTTCCAAACTCACCGCATTACACGGTCTAAAACTGTATAAAACATGGATGTATGCAGCCTTTCTAATGGTGTTTTTTTTTTACCTGTCTGAGCCAAGAAGTGAATCAGCATCACCAGACACCACCACGAGGACAGCCCGGCGAGTCCCTTCCACATCCTAGTCATGTCTCCTCGTGCTTTTCGTGACAGCAGCAGAAAACTCGGCTGTGACTCCTGGCTTCAGGCCTCTGATCGGATGCTCTCAGAAGTTTTCTGTCCTTGGAAGAACTAGGAATAAATAAAAGATCCCAGAGAAGCATCGGCTGAAATGAAAAGTGGACTGAGTCGCATCTCATGGCTTTTAATGTGTCTGACAGAAGGCGGGGCTTAAGCAGTGGTGTGATGTTGGAAACTAGACGTGAGGGGGGCGGAGCCACGCTCCGCGGCTGCATCACCTACATCAGTCGGCCTCATCCCAAACCTGTTCCCTCTGTGTGTGTGTGTGTGTGTGTGTGTGTGTGTGTGTGTGTGTGTGTGTGTGTGTGTGTGTGTGTGTGTGTGTGTGTGTGTGTGTGTGTGTGTGTGTGTGTGTGTGTGTACTTGTACAGCTACCCTACTTAGGACCAGAAATGGCATGTTCTTTAATCTTCTGAAGGCTGGTGGTCCGTGTTAGGACAAAAACCCGGTTCTAATACAGTGGACTCCTTGTTTTAGGCTTAGGACTGAGGTTTTCTCATAAGAAGTGAATTGAGTATTTGTTACAGTTAAGTTTAGGAGTACACTGGTTATGGTTATGTTAGGTGGAGTAGATGGAGTAGATGTATCTCAGTGACATCCCCCTGAATCAGTACCTTGACCAAAACAGTTTGGAGTAGAGAGTCACTGGCAATGCACGGGCCGGCGCGTGTCACTCAGAAAGAGTTAAGGTTAAAGAGCAAGTCATCCTCAAATGAACTTTTTTTTGTTGATAAACTATATAAATGAGTGTCTAATTGCTCTGTAGACACGTTCAGTCAATAATTTGGCACTTTAGTGCATCTTAGTTAAAATTGAAATAATCTGCCTAAAACTGTCAGCGATGCACCGTCGTCAGGCAAAAACTCTGCACTGCATTTGAATTTAAATCTGCCATCGCTGTTGGCTAAGAGGTATACTATGATGTTAGATGGTACATTATGATGTCACAATGTCGTGTGTGTGTGTATTTGTTAGTGGCTCCACCCTCTCGGTCGGCTAGGCAACAGCATTTGTTGCATTTTTCAAACAGGAAGTGGGAGATGAGTAAGAATCTGGCAGGGGGTGACTTGCTCTTTAAGCACAAACGTCAAATGCAGTTACCAAAATGAATGGAAGCCAATACAAAGTCCTAATATGGATACAAATACAAGATTACACGTGTGTGTGTGTGTGTGTGTGTGTGTGTGTGTGTGTGTGTGTGTGTGTGTGTGTGTGTGAATTAAACTTGTAAACAACAAAAGCTTTTAATTATTATTTATTTTAGGCTACTTTCTCTGTGATTTAGACCATTTAGATCATATTTCATATTCTCTCTCATTTATTTTCTTTGAGATAATTAAACATCTCTGTTTCTGATTTCTGACCATTTCTGTTCTGACCTAAATCTGACTGTTCTGACAAATCAAGGGCAGTTTGTGGGGGAAATCGTAACTTGAGTCTCTGCGTGTCTGGGAAATGACGTCAGCACAAAGGGGGAGGATAAGACGACCTCCGAAGACTCACAGGATCCCAAAATAAGCCGCCGCTTCCAAGGAAACGCATGGTTGTGAGCGACGATGCTCATACCTCCCAAGCAGACTTGTTTTATTTCTTCTGCCGTGCATTTTGCATCACTAGTGCTGGTGATGCTTTGCTTTGCAAATGAATTGTTTGCTTTTGGATTACAAATGATGGAGGGCAAAAATAACCCTGATGTTTTACATCTCCCGTGTCCAGCGTGTCCAGCTGGACCAAAGAATCACTCCCCCCTTTTAGTTTAGGCACGAAAATAGAAATATCCTAAAATAATGATGGAAAATCACGCGGACATTTTTTTCTTCCCATGCGAGTTTCTCATTTGCGTAAATCACACACACCACCGTGTGTGAGCCGGGGTCAGGACCTCGTCCCCCGTGGTGGGGCCGGTGGAGTGATTTGTAAAATGTGATCAAAGCGGCTGGTTTACATTCCTCAGCATGTAACACACCCACAGAAAACACACAGCTCTGACTTAGTTAGACGTTACCTCTGACTCATCATTAGTCAGTTTAAATCAGCGCTTCTGATAACGTTCAAATCAAACTTTTAATCTCCTTAGGTTAAAAAAATCAGACGTTGTTGTGGGATAATCACCAAATGTAAATAAAACGGTTTTCCGCTCCTGTTTTCTGTCCGCTGCAAACACGATGACAAACGTATAAGAAAGGAAAATGAGAAAATGTTCTAAATTTTGAATGGATTGCATCATCCGACGCTTCCTCTCTTTCTCATTGCTGATTTTCAAAACCTCTGGAAAGGAGCTGTTCAGGTGTTTCTAATAATGTCAACAACGAGACGTGACAGGTCAGCAGCCTGCCTCCAGGAACTCAGAGTGTCCTCAGTGACTAAAGGCAAACCAGCAGTTAATAAGCTGTAAACGTTGTTATTATTTATCTTGTGTTGAACAAGCAGGAGCCTCTAAAGCTGAGTTTTATCTGCCCAAGAGTCCAGATCTGTGCTGGGCGTCTACACGCCGGCACTGGTCAGCTGATTATCAGCCCGACCCGGTTAGCTTCTCTGTCTCATTAGTTACAGCCAGTGGCGTGTCCAGATCTTTTAAAATGGGGTGGCCCAGGTGAGGCACAACTTTGTGCATGGGTGGCACCAATGGTTATGCTTTATTTGTTTTACCCCCAAGCCTTTTGTCGACAATGTAAAGTCAATTTAAACTGGAACTTAGTGTGATGGCATCTGGGGTGGCCAATCAGATTCCAAGGGTGGCATGTGCTACCCCAGGCCATTCCCTGGACACGCCCCTGGTTACAGCCAGTTTAATCAGTTGTTTCACCCAGAGAAAAGTACTAGTAATGGGTTAGGATTCGACATCTGAGAGGAGTTGTGGCAGAACTTCAGGATAACACGACACTTTTTAGCATTTAATCTCATGATCTGAAACCGATGTCACCCTCTGAACAGGAAAAATGGTCAGCTTCTTGCTGTAAACAACAAATTCTCCCATCATGAATAAAAATGACCACAATTTTATTAACGAGCTTCAGAAAATGTCTTTAACCCTTTGATGCATAATGGTCACTACAGTGGACAGGTACTCAAAATTGTTATTTATTTGTTTTTGCTATTAAGCACAGCTGTTGAAGACTTTATTGCATTTGAGCCTCTTCATTTGGACTTCAGTAAGCCAAGCCAACATATTTCATGCTCAGAATGCACGCTGTCCACTGAGAAGGACATGTAATAAATTATTTTTAAATCATAAAATTTTACAAAAAATATTTGTTGAAATTTGTTTCATTCACACCTAAAGACGGATGAAAAAAATTGTTAAAAAAATCATGGTTGAAAATTTCATAATTCATGCATCAAAGGGTTAAAAACATTTTGTTAAGAAATTAAAAATCTTTTTAACCCTCTCAGGCTCAAAATCAGTTTTGATAAAAGGATGAACAGCTGAGTCCTTCAGGGGAACTTCTGAGTTAAAAATGCTCATGAAGTACGTACGTGGAGTAAGCAGGTAGGTAGGTGTTATCGTGGCAAATCTGCAACGCCTGCCTCCAGAGGCTTAAACAGAATGGTTTGAGTTAAATGATGAAAAAGATATGACATTTTAATTAATTAATTATTTGTTTTTGCTATTAAGCACAGCTGTTGAAGACTTTATTGCATTTGAGCCCTTCCATGTGGACTTCAGTAAGCCAAGCCAACATATTTCATGCTCAGAATGCACACTGTCCACTGAGGTGGACATGTAATAAATTATTTTTAAATCACAAAATTTTACAAAAAATATTTTTTGAAATGTAAAATATTTGAAAAAATATTTTTAAATCATAAAATTTTACAAAAAATATTTTTTGAAATGTAAAATATATGAAAAAATATTTTTTGAAATGAAACTCACTGCTGATCCTTTGTTCCTTGTGAATTAATTAATTAATTAATTAATTAATTCACAAGGAACAAAATAAAAATCAACAGAGAAACAATGACTGAAAAGTAACCGAAAGAAGAAAAACTCTGACATAATCGGCTCATTAGATAAAACATCATTTTTACATTAAACTTTTAAAACCCAGATTCAGCTTTATCACCTTCCTGGTCTGATTTTGAAAATAAACAACAGACTCTGTCTTAATTTACTTTTTCATAATCACTTAACACACTCGATGATATACAGGAGAAACTAAAAATAGCGAGAATCTGGTGCTAAAGTCCCCTTATGTCAGTGTTTCATTTCAAACCATCTAAAGCAGAGGTGTCAAACTCCAGTCCTCAAGGTCCGGTATCCTGCATCTTCCTGTTGTTTCCCTGCTCCGACACAGTTGAAACACCTGTGCAGCAGCTCATCAAGCTCTCCAGAAGCCCGTCAATCACCCGTTGATTGAAATCAGGCGTGCTGAAACAGGGAAAACACAAAAACGGGTGGGATAGCCGCTCTCGAGGACCGGAGTTTCACACCTGTGATCTAAAGACTCAGGAACCCTTTGCAGGTGTTTCATGCGGGACAGTTCATTAGCTGATTAGAGTGTGACACTTTGGAATAGTGAATCTTTTCACAATATTCTAATAGTGTGACATTCTGAGTGCAGAGTTGTAAGCCACAATCATCACAATTATAACAAATAAAGGCTGACATATCTGGTTTTACACGGATTGAGTCTTTCTCATGAATTTGTTTCACCTTTTAGGATCAATTAATGACATAAATGAACTTTTGCACCATATTCTCATTTTTCCAGTTTCACCTGTACACTTTTTGAATATACTGAGTGACCTAGAATCTATTTTTTCCCATTAGGTTTACATACCAATGTATGAAGCTCAGCTTCTTTAGTGTGGTTCTAAATTTAGGTTTAAGTGTTATTAAGTGTTGGTAAATGTTAGAAATAAACCAAAACTTTGTTTTTCCTTGAGTTGTCTTAATCAGTTTGTTCAAAGCCGCTGTGATCTTAGTTAACTCCATCCAAGGCAGGACGCTCTGAACCCAAACAGCACAAGTCTTCTTCAACATTAGATATCGACACGTTCCTGATAGGAGGACGGCTCGCTGCGACTCAGGACACTTTGTGCTGAGTCATGTAATAATCACACAACTTCTAACAGATCTGTGACGGCCAAACACTGAAACAACCAAACCGACGGACACTTTGGATGTTAATCATCATATCAGAGGAGCGCACACACTCACACACACACACGCACACACACGTGCGCACGCACGTACGCACGCACGCACACATGTTGGTATTCATCACTTGTGGGGACATGTCATTGACTTCTATTCATTTGTGTGGCTGAATTATGCCTAACCCATGCCCTTACCCTGGCCATAACTAACGGTGTTCTGTTCCTAACCTTAACCCTGACTAAAAGTTAACTCACACCAACGTTCAAAAAGCAGGTTTTAGGGATTTGTCCTTTGTGGAGACTAGCCAAATTCCCCATGTTGCAGAATAAACCCAAGAAATTGTTCCCAGAACTTAATAACCCCCCCAACACACACACACACACACACACACACACACACACACACACACACACACACACACACACACACACACACACACACACACACACACACACACGCGTGACAATAAAAAGTAACAAAATGTGTTTGTTTATTCTGACTTGAACAACTTCCTTCTAAAGTCTGTAAAAATGACAGTTTGATGATTTCTTGATGAAAGGCAGAAGTTTAAAGGTCATCGTGAAGCTGGCAGAGATGTGTGTCACCATAGCAACGGCTTGATCGGTCGATGAGTCAATGAGCTAAACCCTTAACTTCCTGTTCCCAGTGGGCAGGGCTACGGTGGCGAGCTGATGACTGGTGCTGATCAGGTGACTGATGTGTGAGTTTCTAAAATTCCTGGGTTGTTCAGTTTAAAAAATTAACTCAAGCTGCTCATTTTTTTGTTTTGTTTGTGTTCATGATGTTGTGCTGACCTTTGACCTCTAACCAGTTGACTTTTGCTAGAGAACGCGTTATTCTGCTGGAGTACATGCACTGTTTAATGCAGGTGTAATTAAATAAAGCTCTATAGGAGTCCCTCATAAAAACAGGGCAGTGACATCTTGGTGAAGGTCGCTTCCTCCAAACTTTAGATAAAGGAAAACAAATCAAACAAGCTTTGAAGGTCAAACTAGGACAGTGACTCTTTTCTATCATGAAACTAGTTTGAATGATTTCCATTTAATGTGTTTTTTCCAGTAAATATCAAAGTCACCTGTGTGTTTTATTTTGAAGGAGTCCAGCTGCTGCTGAGGCATCCCGTGCAGCAGCTGCATCATTCTGTCTGACACGCATAACCATAAAAACAGACATCAATACTTGACCTGTTTTTACTTATTTCGACCCTTTGAATGGCCTCAGTTTGTAGAAAGAGAGATGCTTGAGCTAGTGGGCAAAGACCAAAGCGAGCAAACATCCCTCTGGTCTAAAAACCTTTTTATAAACCTGCATATTAGATTTTTGATCGTGATACACAGACGCCACACGCTACCCACTCTACAACAAACGCTGATCATCAGCTGACATCTGGTCATCCAGCCGGAGTCAGGTGTGTGAGCTCCAGGAACCCAGACACACACTCCAGTAGGTTCCCTGTCCAGGAAAGTCTCAGCAGCACCTCAGGATGGTTGATGAGACTACAACAACAAGAATGTAATATTGAAGTACGTAAGCTATCAGTTTATCTTTAAATCAGCACAAATTGAATAAAGACCTAATTGTGCATAATCTCGACCAGGTGTTGCACGTTATTCTAATTGTCTTCTGCATTTTGGCAAACTGTTAGCTAAAGAGCTAGTTGTATATTCCCCTGATCTTGCTGTGGTTTATGGGTACACCGTGGTGTTTGCACAGCCAAAAACACGGACTTCCTATGGTTGCTATGGTTACGCATCACTTCTGGGCAGTTCAAAAGTGAGTTTTTGCCTGAATAACAGAAAACGTTGGTTTAACTGAACGCATAAGCTGAGCTGCTCTGAAACGTCTGAACCGGAGCGGTCTACGTCTGTCCTAGCTGTTTTAACTAGCTGTTAGCTTGTCGCTCCAGTCAGGTTGTTCAAAGAGATGCAAGTTTATAGTTTCACAGAAACCCAGCTTCCGTTTAAATTTACCAGAAAACCTCATTTGAAAATCCAGACAAAAAGCACACATCCATTTTTCCTCTGATAAAACTAATTAGAAAGAAGAAACAAAGACTTTTATTTTGTTAAGAAGAGACCTCCTAGTGGCAAAACTGGGTCTTTACATGTTGAGACAACTCTCCAAAGCCAGAACTCACTAAATCCACTGCTTTAGCTTACAAAACTACAGACTTTAATAAAATACTTCCTTTTATCAAATTTAAAACACAACTCTGATGACGTCAACCTTTTATTGTTTCATTCTGAGTTCGGGCGACAGCGATACAACGCAACATGGACAGAAGTGGAGAAAACATCAAAGCTTTGGTTCACCCCGGGTACCTACTGTAACCAGAGCGAAGTACAGTACTGAACTTGCAAGCTGTTGTTATAACCTATAAGTACTCTTCACAGTATATCCAACACCATCCAGCCTCGAGGCAGTCACAAGCAGAGAGGAGCCGCTATCCTTCTGGTCCTTCGTCTTAAAAAGAGAGAACATGAAAGGTGCAGAGGAAGATGAATCCCAACATCACCACACAACAACCCAAAGAAGAGCTAATAAATCTACGGTGCCGTCGATGGATCACATCTCAAATATTCTTCATGACTACAATCAGCAGAAAGGATCTGAGCTGGAAGTGGAACGAGTGAAGCAGCAGCGGGTTGTTGATGCCACTGACCTCTGACCTCCGTTACGCCTCAGTCACATGACTGTGGTGAGTTTCTACACATCTGTGGAGGAGGGTGGGCACACCCGGCAGCCACGGCGGGTCGGGTCACCGACCCAAACAGCTCAGCACCGCAGCTGGAAACAGTTTCTATCACATTCATAAATAATATTAATTTATCTACATCTGTGACCCGAACCCTTTCACTTCAGTCCATTGTTCAAGCAACAACAATCATGTAAGGTTTAAGAAAACACATTTAAATGCATCAAACTGGACGATTTTCTCTATTTCTTAACATCGGAGTCACGAGCAGCAGAAATGAACCGTGAACCAACATTTGACTGAGGCGTGTTTGGATGATGATGTGGTGCTTTTATTTTGGTGGAACGTCCCTTTTGTGCCTCCTCCTGTTTAGGAGTCCTCATCAGTGCCGCTGGGGGAGCGCTCCTGGAAAACAGGAAACACGAGCAGGTGAACAGGATGTGGTGCGTTCGGCGCGCTGACGTTAAAAACGGGTTCGCTTTCGTCATCGTCACCTTCATTCTCAGTTCCTGTACAAACGTTCTTCTGAGCTTTATTCGTAGCACATTTCATACACAGAGGCAATTCAATGTGCTTTCCAGGAGCGAGAACATTAAAACGAGCATGCGATCATAAACGAGCAGATTTTAAAGTCAGAATTACCATTCACAAACTAAATTAGTTGCAAGAATAAGATAAAAAGGCAGTTAAAGGGCGAGCAGTTACAGAGCAGAAGGTAGAAGAAGAAGAAAATATCATTTCTATAGCGCCTCTCAAGATAAAAATCACGAGGCGCTTCACAAAAACAAAAAGTAAAAAAATAAAAATATAAAAAAGCATTTAGAAAATGTTTAAAAATATATGTAAAATGAGCAAAAATAAGCGATTTAAAAGAAAAAATGTTAAGAAAGAGAGAGAGTGAACAGGAAAGAGGGAAATCAGTGGATCCTGAGGAAGGTGGAATAGGCGGGGAGAGCAGAATAAAGAGAGAGAGGTGAAGAAGGTCATGCAAAAGCCAGCGTGAACAAGTGAGTCTTCAGCAGCTTCTTAAAGGAGACCACTGAGTCCACTGATCTCAGGCTCAGGGGGAGAGAGGTCCAGAGTCTGGGGGCCACAGCAGCAGATGATCTGTCACCTTTGGTCTTTAGCCTGGTGCTGCACAACCAGTAGGCTTTGATCACTGGACCTCAGGGACCTGCTGGGGGTGTAGGGAGTAAGAAGATCACCAATGTAAGATGGTGCTTGTCCATGTAAGGCCCTATAGACCAGAACCAGGATCTTGAAATGAACCCTGAAGTTGACTGGCAGCCAGTGAAGCTGGAGGAGAAGCGGGGTGATGTGGGTGTGTTTGGAGGACTTGGTCAGAAGCCGAGCACAGGCGTTCTGAACCACCTGTAGACTGTTAGGGAGGTTCTGCTCAGACACGTGAAAAGAGAGTTACAGTAGTCTAAGCGTGAGGAGATGAAGGTGTGGAGAACTGTCTCAAGTTCAGAGCGGGACAGAATGGGACTCAGCTTAGCAACGTTCCTGAGATGGAAGAAGGAAGAGCCAACAAGAGAACTGACATGGTGTAGAATCAGGGGCAGTCATTCAAAGGCTGATGAACGTTTTCAAATTTGGTTTAAAAGGTAAAACAGTTGGGGCACATTTGAGGAAGCTGAAACCATCTGTGTGCAGCATAGTGGCTAAAAGCAGCTTCACCCTGTTTGGTTCTGACCCGAGGTTCTACCAGCTGACCGCTTCCTAAGGATCTCAGAGCCCTGCTGGGCGTATGTACAGGAATGAGATCTGACATGCATTCAGGCCCCATGTCACTGAGTGATTTATAAACTAGGAGCCCTTTGAAATCGATGATGTAGTTAACTGGTAACCAGTGTAGAGATCTAAGAACAGGAGTGATGTGCTTGTTTCTCTTGGTTCTTGTTGAGACTCTAACCCCCAAATTCCACTAACTCCGCAGCAAAATCGGTCCCGTTGTAGTCAATCAGAGCTATTCCACTACTGCGATCCTATTTTTGCCGGACGCCGGAGCACCTCCGCAGTCAATGGACAGGAATCACAACCGCCCAACAGGAAAAGGAGCAAGCACAACTTCCGTTTTTCACAATAAATCGATAAACAAAAGGCGTTTTTTGTTTCATATGCACAGGTTTAACAACTTTTAACAACTATCAATGTTGGCTGAAGTTTAATTGCACAAAAATAAGCCATAAATACAGTTTCCACTATCAAAGTAGTCACCCTTTGTTGATCCAAACACTGCTGATCTCTCAACACAAATGATGGGCAGATTAAACAGTTCATGCCGATGCTTCTCCCACACAACAGGTGTTTGGATCTAACTTCCGCGTTTATTGCTCGGATTGTATCGCAAGATCTCGAAAATCCCACGCATGCTTGTTTGCCCACCTCAGGTCTCCGCACCGGAGCGGAGCCGTTGTAGAGCGCGTACCAGTAAAAATTGAGTTCGGAAGCGAGCGGCTGCGGAAGGCGGGGGCGGAGCGGAGGTAGTGGAATTTGGGGGTAGCAGCAGCGTTCTGAACCAGCTGGACCAGTCAGAAGACCACAGCAGTGGGTTGAGGTGTTCAGACTGAGTTACCTCTTCCTGTTCCTCCTCTGAGTCATCATCACTGACGACGGGTTTGGCTCTGGTCCGTCCCGAGCGTCTGCTGCGTCCCTTCCCTCGCTCTCCGCCTTTATCCTTCCTGCCCAGGCGGATTTTCACCTTGACTGAGCGTGCTGCGCAGGAACACAGTCCACACTTGTAAGAAGAAAGCAGCAGATCCTGCTGCAGGTCACGCACAGAGGTGATCCACATGCTCACATTCAGACTCAGACCCGTCCTCCAGATCTTCGTCGTCCTCCTCGCTCTCCTCCCCGTCGCTCTCCTCCTCCTTCTCGATCTTCTGCTTCAGGCTGGTGAACACAGACTGGAGCACGATGGAGTCTTCGTAAATCTGCTCGGATAAAAGAAACAGTCATCCACTGAAACTACAGCTTTCACTTCACTCATAAATAAAACGTGTGTGTGAGTCGTGTCTCTCCTGATTGAAGTGAATCAACAAGCTGAAGCAGGAAGATTTGGTGTCCAGGAGGAGCTTCTCACCAGGGAACCCTCCAGGTTGAAGGTCTGAGCGTTTTGGAAGAGCAGCATGACGTCTCGCTCCAGATCCCCCAGACTGCGGTAGCGATGACTCCGAATCCTCTCCTGCAGCATTGGGCAGGCGCTACATGACATTGCTGCTGCTAGTGCAGCAGTAAAGGTGTTGGGTCAGAACCGTACCTTGATTTTCCTGAAGTCCACCGGCTTGCGGATCAGTTCGTAATATTCTGGCAGTTCTTTTCTAGATGGCAGCTGGATGAACACTTCACTCAGCTGGCGCCCGCTGGTGCTGCAGGATGGAACAGTTAACCCTTATCTGAAAATGTCACTTGTTTAAAAGCTGGTGACTGGAGCACGTTTCTCATTACTGTGTTTGTAGAAAAAAACTTCAGAACATGCAACAGGTCTCTTTAAACTCCAAGTTCCCTCGTTTTTTCAACAAACCTGCAGTGGTCTCTAGTAAAAATGAATGCCTTGTGAGTCGTTCTCTGTGGAGAAAACCTCCAGCTCCTGTTTCTGTTATTAGAAGTTAGCCAGAGGAGAGGGGAGCCAGGATCTGGTGACTTATTTCCTGATATTTAACCTCTGATTGGCTAACAGCCACACAGACCTACCACTGACTCGGTTTGCTCTGTTTTTATCTCCACAGACAACACAAGCTTGAGGAAGTTCTGCCATGCTGTGGAGTTGCTAATGCTAACGGTTAGCTTCTCCTAGCCGAGACGTACTCTTCTGTTTCCTGGATGCTAAACCAACAACAGCCTTCCCCGTTATGAGTCAAGATGGGTGAGTCCATGAAAGCTAAATGGACACTGCAACGTGCTAATGTCGCTGGCTTTTTCTGATTTTTATTGGTTGCTAATACAGGAAATAGGGGTAGGAGACTATTTTCATGTTTAGCCTGCATGTGAAACTCAAAGTGACCGATCATATTTCAAAAGTAACAAGTAAAAAATGGTTCCTCAGTAAACCGGGGGCCTTATGTATCACACGTTCATAGAAAAATTCCTAAATTCCTTCCTATGAACGAAATGAATGTTCGTACAACCGGTCAAGATCCTGATTTATGAAACATGCGCTGAACTCTCGTACGCACGTTCCTCCGCCCTCACCCGATGATAAATCCCACCTGTGTGTACCCAGGTGCTTGTGTCCGTTCTCCGTCATTTGCATACAGAAACACCCTCAATTAACCATATTTGGTCACGCTACGTCCTCAGCACCTGAGGGGATTCCCTGCGTTCTACTCGTGAAAAAAGAAAACTTGCGAGATTTTGACTCTTTCTGTCGAAGCGCAAAATAGCCAAACAAGTTGCAGAGGTCGTAAACGCGGTCGGGACAGAGGAGAGGTTCCTGTCAGGAGTAAATAAAAACTTTAATATGACCAATCGCAGAGTAACTGGTTGGTTTTCATTTACATTTTAGGAGTCGTTCTGGACGGTTTGTTTTATTTGGAAATGTCTGAGTGCAGCCTCTTAGCAGGGGCGCCTCCAGAAAAATTCGATATGGGTGGCCAGACGGGGCCAAGGCATTTTTTTGGGGTGGCACACCAAATTGGCCCTTGTGGTAACTCTGGGAGAGTTTAGCCTGTGGTGATGTGTTGTATTGCTTCTTTATTCATTTTTATTAAAAAAAAATACGTATCTAAAACATTTAGCTTACATTTTACAAACACAAAAATTTTAGAAAAAAACATTTGTTATTTTAAATTTTATTTTAAATGTATTTTTTAGTTTAATTCACCTGTTGCTGAGTTCACAAAACTATGGAGATAAACACTTTTTAAAAATGGTGAGCAGCAGAAACATATGTTTATTTTTAAATTCTGATTATTTCTTTACTCGTTAATTATATTATTTTTGTTTTGTTTTACGATGACTTCTTGAATAAATTAGATACATTTATGGTTTCAGTGAACATTAATATGATTTGTTAACATTGGCTTTTGCTGGGGAGGCCAGCAATTTTCTAGGGGTGCCCATGGCCACCCCTGGCCACCCCTTGGGTTTGCCATTGCCTTTTAGTTGTCATTCTGTCTGGTTTCCTTGACAACACGTGTGTGATCGGGGAGCGGAGGAGGTTCTGAGGGGGGGGTCTGGTAGTTGTAAAACAGGATATGAACTGGAATCGGATTTGTGCCGTTTATCTGTCGCTCCACAAAGAGTCCCAAATCCCAGCACAGCTCCAGACGGATCTGCTGTCAGCGCGCTCACGGAAAGGCGTTTACTCCAGAGAGCACGCTCTGACAAATCCTTTATAATAACATAGAAATGTTCTTTTATCTGATGCATCTCAAGCAAAATCAGGAGGCGTTTCACAAGGACTAAAATATAATATAATAAAACTAAATTAAAAATAATATTAATTAATTAATTAAAAAAAGATTAAAAACATCATAAAAATGGGAAGAGAAAATTGTGATTACATAAAACACAAAATCCATTCTACAATGTCAGATTCCCGTTGGGTGTTTTAGCACCAGTTATGAGACTCGTCTGTTTTTCCACTGAAATATTTATCGAATGGGTAAAATAATTTATAGATGAGGAACGTGTGTGGACGACTGAGACCTTCGGTGTTGCAGATCTCCCGTTCTACCACTAGATGCTGTTCCTACCGTGGTCTGAAGTTTTCTTATGTTTAGGAACATTTTCACACACAAGTACAAAACGATGAACACCACACAACGCGTAAATTAGCTCCTGTTCACGACATACGCACAGATCTGTGCGTAAGTGCGGTTGATAAGTGTAAAAAATCAGTTAATCGCATCTGCATGAAGCTCCGTCTCACCTACGACTCCGATGAGCTTTTTAGTTTCAGCTTCAGGTGCAGAAACATTTTTACGGTAAGGTGTTAACACAGGCAACCTCCTTCCTGCGCTGCAGGTCGACTCAAACCTGGAATCGCGTTGAACTGAGAAGCAGTTCTTTGGTTTTAGATCATTTCTCTCACCTATCTTTGTACTTGATGACGGCGTCTACAATCTTCCTCATCTTCTTTGTGAGGGCGGGGGGGTTAGGGGACAGTTTCTCAGCTGGAGGCCGTCCCCTCTTCCTCTGCCTCTTCCCATCATCATCCCTGTCCCCTCGTCCTCGGCTACCAGAAGAGCAGGAGGGACCGGGGGCATCCAGATCGCGGTCCCTCCTCCTCTTACGGGTCGTCTTTTTGTGGCGCACCTCTTCCTCCATCTCCTCGAGCGTGCCTTCTTCGATCGCCTGAAGAAACAACATGGCTGTTAGATTAAAACAGGTGTTTAAACCACCTGTTGTTTATCCAAACCACCTTGAGCCACTGCTTCTCCGTCAGCGAGTCGCTGTAGTCCACCTCCTTCCTCTGCCGAGAGCCACGCCCAAACATCTTTTCCTCCTCTTCCTCGCAGGTCAGTCGCTCGACCTCAGCGTCATCCTTCATGATCCAAGTGGGAAGCTCGTCTTCCTCCATCAAACGAGGTTTTCGCCGGGGGTTACGGGCCTCCTCCCGGCGCCGGTCTAGGTCCATACGCTGGGCGAGGAGCGGAGCGAGTAAGACTGACTTGTGGACATAATTAAAATTCACATCTCAAAATTGTTACCATGAACTGCTCGAACTCTTCTTCACTCCTGGCGATCATTTGGTTGACCGTCTCATCGTCCGGCACCTCGTCCTCCTCCTGGATACAGCAGACACACATTGGCAAGCAGAGGATATAAGAAAGCACTTATTGAACTTATTGTTGCAGGTGCAAGCACACACATTCATGACTTCTTGGCCCCAGACCTCGTCTTGCTCCTCGTGCTCCAGGATGGCCTGCAGGAATGCCCTGCGCTCGTGGCTGGAAGACTTCTGGTCAAACATGCCGGCCTGGATGACCTTCTGGTCCACGTTCAGTTTGTATTTGGCTGCTGCCAGAATTTTCTCCTCCACACTGTTGACTGTGCAGAGACGAAGCACTCGCACCTCGTTCTGCTGGCCGATCCGGTGGGCTCGGTCCTGAGCCTGCAGGTCCTGGTTTCAGAACACATGTCAAAGTATTCAGTAGTGAAGTGGCACCAGAGGTGAAAGCTGCAGCTGGGACCAGCACCACAGAAAACAGTAATAATAATAATACTGATAATCTGGTCTTTAATGGGCTCTTATGTCTAATTAAACCTGAAGTGAACACAAACGAATCAGATTCCAGCATCTCATCGATGCCTTCGTTACTTCATCTTATTGCAAATCCTCCCTTACCCACCTTCAGGAAGTCCAGAACACTGATGCCCGTGCCTTAACCAACACAGACAGACGTAGTGACATCATGCCAATCCTCGCCAACCTACAATGACTACCCATCATCTTTTGGGTGCAATTCAAGATTCTAGTGCTTGTTTTCAAAGCCCTTCATGATTTAGCCCCTTCCTGTCTTTCAGAGCTGCTCTTTCCTCATGTGCCCACGTGATCCTACTAACCACCTGGTATTGTGTACCCCATTAGGCATTATAAATCCAGAGGGAAACATTCTCTTTGTTTGGAGCCCCAAAACTACGGAAGGAGCTTCTTCTTCCCATGAGGCAAGCATCTTCTCTAGCCCGCCTCGAAACAGCTCTCATTCCTCTCATCAAGCTTTTGATGCGTCAGCCCTAACTCATACCTTTAGTTTTTACTGTGCTTTACATTCAGAAATGCATTCAACTGTTTTATTTATTATGTTTCATCTGTACAGCACTTTGGTCAGCTGCCATCCTGTACACTTTCTACAAAGGCACCATCGAGAGCATCCTGTCGTGCGGCATCACTGTGTGGTTCGGAGCCTGCAACGTTTCCTGCATTAAAACCCTCCCAACATATAGTGAGAGCAGCAGAGAAGGTCATTGGGGTCTCTCTCCCCTCCCTACCAGACATTTACAGCACCCGCCTCACAAAAAAGGTCCTTCGCATTGCGGCTGATCCCACTCACCCAGTGCAAAGCCTCTTCGAGCTGCTGCCGTCAGGGAGGAGACTGCGGAGTCTCAAGGCCAGGACCAACAGACTGAAGGACAGGCAGTCAGGCAGTTAGGAAGCTAAACTCCCTCCCGGCTCTCCTCTCTTTTCCCCCACAGTCTCTCTGAACTTGGTTACTGTTTTTATACTAAATGTTTATTTTCTATCTAGCGAGAGCTAGAGAGTAACGCAATTTAATTTCTCTGTATGTCCTGTACATGTGGCAGAAGTGACAATTAAACTGACTTTGACCTTTGACTTGACTTTTAACATTTGGTTTAGAAATAAAATTGGACAAAATATAAAACCTGTGAGTATAAACTAAAGAGCAAACTCTGCCTGTCAAAAGAGAAGCCAACAAGGAGGCGACAAAAGCTGCGGTCAAGAGGTTAATCAGCTTAGATGTAATTAAAGGTGAAACCATGAATACCTGGGGCCGTGCCCTTTTGATCGGCAGGCAGCAGGTGAGCCTTTAGCGCTAGCAGCTAGCCCTCTTGCTTGCTCCAGGGAAGGCCTCAGCCTCACGTTAAAAGTGTTACAGCCTAGAAGGCAGAGGGTAGCAGTTGCTCAACCACAGTTTTCTGGCTAAAAGCACTCGCCAACCACCGTTAGCTTCAGTTAGCTCAGAAATTTAGAATCGAGAGCTTTGCATTCCAACTCAGCTCTCTCTTCACCACAACAGACCGGTACAACGCCCACATCACTGCAGATGCAGCACCAATCCACCCATGAATCTCGCTCCAGCTTTCCCTCACTCGTGAACAAGACCCAGAGATACTTAAACTCCTCCACTTGAGGCACAACCTCGTCCCTGACCCGGAGAAGACATTCTACCCTTTTCACACAAAACTTTAAAAAATAAATAAATAAAATGTCATAAGTAAACACTAGGCCGAGTTCAGATGGGTTAGGTAACGACTGACACTCCATCAGGTGAGCCATCTGCCTCGGTAGTAGTCAATCGACGGCAGCAGCAAAGGCAACAGCCCAGGGCTCCCAGGGAGGTAGGGCGACAAACCCCCACCACCGCCTCAGCACTCCCCGAGGTGCACCCAGGTCGCCACAGTCGACCATGTGAGGGAGCAGGAGGAAGAAAATGTCTGGGGATGGGGAAGAATGGCCGGGGGTCCTAAGCCCTCCAGGGAGCCAGCTCCCCTGCTGGCCCAATTAGGCACCTCCATCCCCAAAATACCACCTGGGGCATGGAGACCCCAGCCCATCTTGCCAAGGCCCAAGGCAGCAGCATCACAGAGCCCCACTGAGTCGGAGGCCACCAACCCAGCCCCACCCCTGCAGAACATCTACTCCCATCACTGCATTTGCCAAACTTCCAGAATATTTAAGACATAAGACATCCAGGTAGGGCTGGGTCCTGCCCTTTCTGGACATCCCCCTCCTCCATGATGGAACAGAATTGTTACCATTATTTCAGAGGAGCCAATGTCCACCTGAGGCCCCATGAGCCTATAGGCCCGACCACATCGTCTGCAAAAAGCAGAGACCTGATCCTCAGGCTACCAAAACAAATCTGCCCAACACCTTGGCTGTGCCTAGAAACGCTGTCCATAAAAGCTATGAACAGAATCAGTGATAAAGGACAGCCTTGGTGGAGTCCAACTCTCACTGCCAAGTGTTCCCGCCTTCCTCCTGGCAGCCTTCAAGTTAGGACCCGACCCCCAGGACCCCACCCAGATCCCTGCAGGGGCTGGCCGCCCCAACATCCCGAGCCCCCGGACCCCACCCAATGAACCCACCCCCTGGGAACGTCTAGATACTTCAAACTCAGACCCTCCTCCCCATCAACCTCAGCATCCCGCAGGACAAGATCAATGACCCCCATCATCGCTACCTGATGGAACCGATCAAAGGAGCCCAGAGAGATTGATTTGAAGTAGAAGCAGAGGCTGTCTGAAGTGTAATACGAGCCAACAAAAGACTTCTATACTGGTTAATGCAAAGACTCTCTATTTTTCCAATTTATGAGGATAGTTTCTTAGCGATGCATATGGCAGTCAGAACCACGTGAACCAAAGGTGTTTCAATCAGGGAAACACATTTCAAAGACGAAACTGAGTCCGGTTACCAAACCGAGCAGAACACTGACGTAGCACAGGTGCACATTTCAACCAACCGGAGAAGGAGGGAGTGGGGGTAAACGGAGTGCATCACAGGGAATGGACTGATGTTTTTGAGCAAAACTGTGTGATGAAATATAAAAACATAAAAAGTGTCCACCCACATCCCCGACGGGTGAGACGCGGTGCTCGAGCACCGGCGCTGCAAAGCACAATATTTTTAATTTATTATTTAGCCACTAGGTCAGACTAACTGTGAGGGTGAACTTTATTTTAGTCCCACTCAGGGCTCTACATTACGGCTAATAATCTCTGCTTTGGTCTCGTCTGCTCCTCGTGATTCGTTCAGATTAAACCTTTTAACCTGAGTCATGATGTTTCAGGGAGGGGACAGGGGCGCCTCTAGAAAAATTTGATAGGGGTGGCCGGATGGGGCCAAAGAAATTTTTGGGGTGGCACACCAAATTGGTCCTTGTGGTAACTGTGGGAGGGTTTAGCCTGTGGCGATGTGCTGCATTGCACTTTTATTCATCTTTATCAAAATAACAATACGTATCTAAAGCATTTAACCAAAATTTTACAAACGCAAAAATTTTAGACAAATACATTTCATTTATTTAAAATGTTACCCCAAATTTAATTTAAAATTACATTTTTTTAGATTAACCTGTGTTGCTGTGTTCACACACAAAAAAAACCTATGGAAATAAAAACTTTTTTTAAATGGTGAGCAGCAGAAACATGTATATTTTTTATTCTGATTATTTCTTTACCCATTAATTATAATATTCTTATTTTGTTTTACAATGATGTCTTGAATAAACAACATTAATATATGGTTTGACTGAACATTAACATGATTTGGTAACACTGGCTTTTCCTGGGGGACCAGTAATTTTCTAGGGGTGCCCATGGCCACCCCTAGCCACCCCTTGGGGGCGCCCTTGGGAGGGGATGTTTTCACCTGCAGCCTTCCATAAACAAATCTATCGTTATCCCACTTGAATAAGAATGACCTTAAACATAGCATCAGTTACTTCTCCGGGGTTACTGTTCCTCCTGAGCGCTCTAAATGAGAACATGATGGAATCTGTTGTGCACTTGAGGTTCCAGATAAATCACTTCTATTAAGTCCTTGTACATGAAGGCCTTGTAAGATGTTTATAGTTCATATGACCGTGCCTTTGAGGTACAGTCACGAGAGGAAAATAACTGCAGAATACCGTTAAAAAAGAATTTATTTTATAATTTAGTCGAAATAATTTAGCGATTTTTAGCACAAAAATAAGTCAAAGAGCAAATATTTACTTAGATTTGTGGTGAATCTGGTCTTTGCTAAGCCGATAGGAACGAGTCAAACCTGATGCGGGTTCCAGTCCGAGTCAAAAATAATCACAGTGTCGGCAGACTGCAGGTTGAGCCCGAGACCTCCAGCTCTGGTGCTCAGGAGAAAGATAAAGTACTCAGACTCCGGATCGTTGAACGTCTTCAGTAACATCCCTCTGTCCTCAGCCTTCGTCGTGCCTGAAGACAGACGGGAGGAGGAAATGGTCTACAGAGACATGATCCAGATGTGGGCGACCCAGAGGAACCTACCGGACTGCCACCTGTAGCAACTATGACTACTCACCATCCAGACGCAGATACTTGAAGCTGCGGTAAGCAAAGTAGTCCTCCATGATGGTCATGAGTGAGGTCATCTGGCAGAAGAGCAGCACTTTATGGTTTGTGGCTCTCATCTTTGGCAGGATTCGATCCAACACCTCGAACTTTCCCGATGCTCGGTACAGATCAGCACTAGTGGACGGACACAGACAAACTGGTTACAAAGGAGACCATCTGTGAGACGTAAAGACAAGTCCACAGGCTCTCACCCCTGGACGATCCCACCGGAGAATCCTAAATGTTCAGAGAAAGATTCCTGCAAAATTAAAACAGAACACGTGAACTTTGTTACAGGTCTGAGCTTCCTGCTCCGGTGACATCCACCTGCCGGGGTTACCTCAATCTGCTGGAACATGTAAGGGTGGTTACAGATCTTCCTCAGCTGCATGATGGTGTTCATCAGGGTCTTGGTGCCTCCTTTACCCTGGTGGACACACATCAAGGCAAAGGACATTTATAAACTGCAGAGTTAAGAAAACTGATGTAAACTCTCCTCAGGACCACACTGAACTGGTTTCATGACCTAATAACTGATTCTGGCTCCACCTTCTTGTCTTTCTCTGATCCATCGGTGAGCAGGACCCCCTTGGCCTGCATGTGTCTGTACAGAACCCTCTGGAGAGCCGACATGTCACACTTAATGACGTACTCCACCTGGGGAGAGGAGAAGGTCTTTATTCGTGTTTGGCAGCAGAGACCGGTTGGAGGACCAGAGTTGGATCAGATGCAACAGGAATTCCAATATTCCTCTAAAAGTTAGAGAAAAGCTTTCGGTCTGCTCACATCCTGCCGTTTTCTGGTGTAAGATAATTTTAAGAAGAAAAAGAAACTATTTTTATGTAGTGCTTGGACAACAGATGAGCAGAAGGTCGCACCAAAGCCTTAACAGATGAGCTTCAGCTGCTTTTTAAAGGAGACCACTGAGTCCACTCACCTCAGAAAACAACATTCTGCACTTTTCTTGGTTTACTTCTTTATCGTGTACAGTGATCCCTCGCTACGTCGCGGTTCGTATATCGCGGATTCACGACTTCGCGGAAATTTTCTTTGGAGCCTTATTCAAGGGAAATTCGCAGATTTGCGGTATTTTTCACCGATTCGCGGTATTTTTCTACGCGAAATATCAAGAAATTCCTGTTTTTTTCATCAATTTCATCATAAAATGCACTTTTTGTAATAAAACTATAAAAAAAGCAAGTAAAATTTTTTTTCTTGAGTTTTACCCACAAAAAGAGAATGTGCTGTACTGTAAATATGGTGTCCCTACTTCGCGGATTTTCACCTATCGCGGCCAGGTCTGGAACGCATCTACCGTGATAAACGAGGGATCACTGTATTTTTAACCTGGAATTGGGTGTTTTTTAAACAATTTTTGAAGTATTTCTTTTCTAAAGATGTCAATAATTTGTTTTCTCACGTCTTTCGCTCTCAGTGTGTTTACTGATTACTTATACAAAGTATTTCACCACGGGCCATCAAAACTGTTAGAAAATCCCTCAATTATGAATCAAATATACAAACTTAATTTAAACACCCTCTGTGGCTCTGACAGCCCAAATCGGTTTCTTAGCTCAGACCTGTTTCTGGGCTGACTGAGGGAGCGTCAGTGAGGCGGCTCACCTGAGAGGCCTGAGTCAGAAGGTAGGTTTCCATCAGCTCTTTCTTCATCAGCATCAAAACATCTTACTGAGAAGGTCAGACTAGAAGTTCTCAACAAAAATGGTACTGAGTGCTTTTTGTTGCAGCACACTTCTACTCAAAATGAACATCTAGGAAATTAAAGTCTAACAAACCCGTCGATACGGACATACAGACACATAACTGAGCAGGATAAAGTCCCTCATGTCTGACGTTGTGGATGGGATGTCGTTTGCTGACGTTAGTAACCTTTACCTTCTCTGGAAGCTGGGCCTCCACTTCCTTCTTTAATCTCCTTAACAGGAAGGGGCGTAGCACTTTGTGTAAGCGGCGAATAATCAAGATCGTCTCTTCTTCATTTAGGTCCACCTAGCATGGAAAACAGCACATTTCTCAAAGGAAGTAAACATTTTCATGACATATGTAATGGAACAGAATGACTGTTTTTTCCCTCCTTTGCTCAAGACTCGTCTGCATGAGGTATAACTCAAGGTCTCATGCATTCCTTCTAACCTGCTTATTTTCAGCTCAACAGAAGAACGAAGAATGGACTCTTTTCTTTTAATTAATCAAAGAACTCTACTTTAATGAAGCTAATCCATCAAATTGTTAGTCAATAAATAAGATGTGACCGATCTGTGAAATCAAAATATTAATTATTTTATTATAATCCTATAGAATATAAAGGTACTATGACTTTAAGTGTTCCAGCAGGACTCAGTTCACGTAGCATTAAAAGACACGACACATTACTTTCACTGATCCAATCAGAATCTTACAGATCTGACGGGGGCGTGGTTCTGATGGTGTTTGGTAATTTTTCATTCAACAATAAACCAAAACATCCGAAGTATAAAACTATGCCACGTCAGCTCTAACGCCAGTTCAAAGCGTTCCTGAGAAAGCGCTGGAGTGGCCAATCCTGATCTCGACTCTTTAACCGAAAGAAAAACGACAAGCTGAAAAGAAAAATTCGTCGCTATTCCAACTGCGGCAACAGTTCCTTTCAGAACAAAAGCTGAACCATCAAGACCCAGGCTTGGGTCTCACCAGATGCCAACAAACTGTCGTGTACCCGGAAGTAACTCACAGACTGGTCTGATCGGAACCGCGGCTTTTCCTACCGGCTCGGTTCCAGAGAGGGTCAAGCTGGACCTCGATATTCCTGATCTAAAGGGGACTTCCTGAAGGGTAGGTATACCGGAAAATGGTGTCTCATGTGTTTTTGGACCTCCTAACCAAAGCTTAATGCGAAGACAAAACCTTCAGTTCCCGTCAGAACTAATCGCTTCTTCGGATTTGCCGGTTCTGATCAACATCACACGTCATTCATTACACATTTCAAACACCTAAAACGTGTTTATCTCTGGGTTTTCCTGCAGCTCCGGCTCACCTTCTCCCCGGTCATGGCAAAAGGGGCGTTAAACCACTGCTCAAATGTGCTGCAGCTCTTAAAGATGGTGGGCAGAAGGAAGTTGAGGAGCGCCCAGAGCTCAGGAAGTTTGTTCTGCAGTGGAGTCCCAGTCAGCAGGACCCGCCTTGGAGCAAGGTAGTGGGTGTTCAGGACCTGGGTCAGCTTACAGTGATGGTTCTTCATGCGGTGGCCTTCATCCACAATCATGTACTTCCATCGTATCTGGAGAGAGACGCAGACAGCGAGTCATTACTGCTGCAGATTGGTGCCCCACACAGACCAGCTGCTTTTGTCTTCAGGACTCGAGTTCACAAAGTCCAAAAACGCCTCAAGCAAAAGGAGAACGTGAACCCTTTAGGCGCCATCGTTTTTTCAGTAAAATATGAATTTTTATATCATTATTTAAATCTGGTTAGATAGTGGAATATTGTAAATTAGAAAAATCTTCAGTGTGAGCCAAATTTTGTGATAGGAACAAATTCACTCACATAATTTGCATATTATGACGTCATCAGGTGGCAGCCATATGGGATTGCATCACATTTGCAGATTTTTGTTGTTATTTTTAAGTTTTTGTTTCATTTTCTTAGTGTTGTTATTGTTTATGCTACATATATACATATTCGTATGTAGACATATATAACTATGTATGTATATATATGTAGATATATATATATATATATATATATATATATGTAGATATATATATATATATATATATATATATATATATATATATATATATATATATATATATATATATATAACTTTATTGGTATTTTGTTATGTTTACTGCGTATTAGTCAAGAACACTGTTTTTGGTGCTCCAGTGTCATGAACACATTTCACTCATCCCTTCTTTGTTTTATTTTGTTTGTAATTGTTATATATATATATATATATATATATATATATATATATATATATATATATATATGTGTGTGTGTGTGTGTGTGTATATATAATCCTCAATCTCAGGCTTTTCCACAAGCCCCATGCAGAACTGAATGAACGCTTTCATTTCTGAGACAGTAACATCATACCAGTCATTATATCTGGAGCCAGATTTCAGTTCCTCCCTCTCTAAATACTGGTGAGCCTATCGGTTAGTTTCAGTTGTGATGAGGGTCCAGAATTCCTCATCCAAAAAAACTGACAGAAAATCAATGTGTTCTGAATTTGACAGATCCCTGTCTCCACAGTATCCAACTGGCTCTTCAAAATGCCTGATCCACTTGGAATACTGTTCCTCTTCTCCCAAACTAACCCAGCCATCATCATTATTATTGTCACTGAGGCTGTGTTGGGCCACCCCCTGCTAGCAATGATTCTTCCCCCCGTGGTTTCTCCCATCCTGCGGCATTTGCCGCAGTTTACACTCTGAATCGATCACCAGCGGAGTTTTCACCGACCCACCATCCCCACCCCCACCCCCCCAGCGGTACGGACCCGGTACGAGCTGCTCTAGGCCACCCCGCCACCTGTCTTTCCCCGACCCAGCGGTTTCTCCCCCTCCGGCTCCAATTCCCGCGGACAAGGTAAGGGCTGGATGGGCTGCTTGTGTAGACTCCCTGTTGCTGCGCGCTGAAGCCACGCTTCTTATTCTTCTTCCTCCGAATCCGAATCTGCCAGTACTACACGAAGAGCTTCGTCAGCACTGAACATCCCTCTCTTGTGTTTTTTTTCCTCCACCCCTCGCTCGCTCTCACTCGATCTGACTGCTCTGACAAGCCCCGTGGCTCTGCGACTGGTGGGCGGGGGTTCAAGCGCTAAATACTCCATAAATTTGAATAGTAACACACCCACAGATGCTGCTTGGATTGAAGTTACAGGTGTCTGCCACCCCGCAGTGTAACACATTAACTGCACGAGGGCTCATTTCTGCTGCTGTGGCTTATTAAATCCAACATTGCTGCTTGTCGCAATTCTGCGACTTTGGCGCTTAACGGGTTAATAAATGAGGTGCAAACAGCAGTGATAGAGGGACACTGTTGTATTATGAGTGTTTGTGCATGTTCTTGAGTCTGTCTTCACGAAGAGTCTCACCTTGGCCAACACTTGTTTGTCCTTGATGATGTACTCATAGGTGGTGAGTAAAACGTTGAACTTTCCACTGCGCAGCTGGGGCACGAACGTTCTCCTAGCAGCAGGAGAGCCCTGGTAGCCACAGAAAAAGGAATTCATGAAACCAAAAACACAACAAAACACCAAGTTCACCATTAAAACGGCTGCCAGCGGACACCTACCTTGTAGGACACTTTCACAACTGATGGCGCCCACTTGTCAAACTCATACACCCAGTTAGATAAAGTCCTGTCAGGGAGAGCTGTTCTGATACCTCCACACACAAAACACTTCACGTTACTGAGGATGAACTTACGAGAGGGGCACGATGATGAGGTAGGGTCCGTTGAGCCGTTTGTGCTCCATGAGGTACGTGATAAGTGCGATGGTCTGGATGGTTTTACCCAGACCCATCTCGTCAGCCAGGATCCCGTTTAGATTGTTATTGTAAAGAGAAACCAGCCACTCCAGACCTTTGATCTGAAAACAAAAACACATCTGTTTCTGTCTAAAAGGAATTCAGAGCATTTAAATACATGTTCCTATACAGAATGAGAGACGGGGTTGAGCTCAGAAGTCGTGGTTCCACCAGTGGTTTAGGTCCTGAAGCAGCAGAGCAGCCTCAGGCTACCGTACTACCAGCATGTCAGACATGTTTTACCTCTCTATGTTCTATGGTCTATAGAAAACATGGTCGTGAAGTTTTATGCATAAAACCTCTCTCACATTAAGCACTTTTAGCAGCTTGACAGCTCTACCCATTTTCAGCACCCCCCAGAATGAGTCTTTTCAAGGCTCTGTCCCTTTAAGAAAATAACAAGCTGTTGCTGGCCATGCCCACACAGCCTTTGATTGGCTGCTATAAGCTGAACAGCTTTGATATTTGGGAGGGACTCAGACTAGAGCTGCTGCTCCTCCAGCATCAGGAGGTGAGGGGGGGTTCTATGCTAATGCTTCCTATTGTGACATCACAATAAGGGACCTTTCTGAAAGCTTGTAGAAGCAAAAAATTCCTAAATTCAAACACTAACAAAATGGAAGTTTTTTAAATTCATTTTGGAGTGTTTATAGACAACGCAGAGACCCAACCCACAAAAGCCAAGTCCAGTTTTTTCATAAAGCACTTTCCCCGCTCGACTGGGAGACCAAAGTGCTGGACACATGCGTAGCATCACACAGTAGAATCTACAGCAGGGGTGTCAAACTCACACGGGGCCGAAATGAAACTCTGGGATGGAGTCGAGGGCCAAACTTAATATTTTTTTTAAAAGTGACGGCAAATTTGTACATTTTCTTTATCAACATATATGCAATTTTGAACCTTTAAATTTGGAAACAAACTTATTTCTGCATTAACACTGAATGTGGAATAACCAAATTACACACGAGCAAGTCCGTTTTAAATAAAAGGCATCAGTGGTATTCATTACTTGTGGCATAATCAGCATTTTTAAAATCTATTCAGGATTTTTGTTTTCTTGTTTATTCATTTTTCTTATTTTTTATTCTCCTTTTTTTCTCCTGTAATACGTGTCATCGCTGCTGTGACGTCTAGCTTTCCCCACTGAGGAACAATAAAGGGATTTTCTATTCTATTCATCTATCTGCAGCCTTTCCACTTCCTGTTTACTGTAGGTTAAATCTTTTCTCACGGGCCAACAACAAAATAAAAATATAATTTTATCTTAAATGAAAATGCAACATCTCACCTGTTAACTTTCATGTTTTGGAGCAGAAAAAGAGCAGAAAACCAACATATTTAAAGCTCAGTTTGCTCCACTGGTTTACTGTGATGCTCACCTGTTCCAGCCAGATACCTGCATCATGGGGTTGATCTGAGCTGAGGAGGAGACTCCTGTTGTTTTGTTCATCTTCATCATAATAATGACAACATTAGACGACAACAGGTGCTCACATAGGTTTGTGCTGATGAACATGTCTGAGCAGCTTGACCACGTTGTTGTGTGTCCGGGAGGAAAAATAACAACTACAGCAGCCACAGAGTCATGCTGGTTTGAGCATGTCGCTGCTCGCTGGAGTTATATCGGCTCTGTCTGGACGTTAATTGGAAAACTTTCTCTTTCAGTCGTGAACACATTACTGAGCGGCTAGAATCTCCGTTTCTGGGCTTCAACGTCAGAAAATAGCTGAGTGAACTCGGCGCTGAGTGAGAGGAGTGTTTGGTTTGTCCGAGACAGCGGAGCTGCAGACACCGGTGTCGGTACAGGATCTGCTCGGGTGCAAGATCGGCTCGGGTCCGTCGACTGCCGATGACGTCTAAGTAGTTGATTGGCTGAACATGACCTTACGGAATTACGTAATCACGTAACGTTGTTATCACGTGACGTTGGTCCAGGCAAATTTTTTTCTATTGGAAAGATGGACAACTTTTACAAAGAAATCCATCATTACCTCTTTGAAAATACACTTTTAGCATAGAGCTGCAAGTATAATAGGGCTGAACGATTAACTGCATGTGCAATGAAATTGCGATGTGACAAAAGAAGATTTTCTAATGGCAAAGGCTGCAATTTGGCAGCGAGTGGTTAGCGCAATGCTAATATACATGGAAAAACCCATAGGAATGCTAATGCTAATATCGCAGATTACATTATTACAAATTATGAATTAGAAACGTGCCAAATAATTACATTTGGAGTCTAATAGAAAGTAAAAATACCATCAATCAAATAAGTACAGACAGGTATTTTAGTAAAGCCAGGAGATTTTCTAATCTCAAAGGCTGCAATTTGGCAGCGAGTGGTTAGCGCAATGCTAATATACATGGAAAAACCCATAGGAATGCTAATGCTAATATCGCCGATTACATTATTGCAAATAATGAATTACAAACGTGCCAAATGATTACATTTGGAGTCTAATAGAAAGTAAAAATACCATCAATCAAATAAGTACAGACAGGTTTTTTAGTAAAGCCAGAAAACTTTTAACTCCAGAGTTTTGGCTAGCAGCTACAGTCTATGACAAGATGTCAAAAACTCTAAACACAAAATACTTAAATAAACGGGACACACTTCTTTCCTGCAAATTTCACAGGTCTTGCTAATACCTATGATTCTTCAAGGGATGTGCTCAAAGAGGAGTTCAACATTATGAATAAGATATAGTGTTTTATTTTACAAATACCATTATAAACACAAACTTACATCTTAAGAAACGTTATTTTAATAACGAAAGTGCTAAATTCTTTCCAACAGTATAGACGTGTAGTGTATTTTGTCCGAGTCGGTTTGCCGTACTTTGACGTCATCGGCAGTCGAAGGACCCCGAGCCGATCTTGCACCCGAGCAGATACTGTACCGACACCGGCAGCAGGCGCTGGAAAAAACACAAAGGAGGGGGCGCGTCGGCTCCACGCTGACGCCGCAAAGCATCATGGGAGTTGAAGTCTTTGCGGTAAAATCGGCCAGCGGGCCAGTTTTAATATATTTTTGATATTTATCTCGCGGGCCACATAAAAATGCTCCGCGGGCCGCATCTGGCCTTGTGTCTGACACATGTGATCTACAGTAATGCTAAAAACAGTAAATAGTACAGTAGAATGTTTGATCATGTCTGCATCAAAAGATAAAGAATAGTAATGTGCTGTTCAATGGCAACTTATTCCACAGGATTGGAGCAATGATGGGGAATTCCCTGCGATTTCAGTTAAACTTAAGTGACGAGTAGTAGATTTTGGTCAGGTGACCAAATCTACCTACTTTGTTTTGTTTTCTTGATTTTATGTGAATAATTTCCGGCCCTTTCTCCCTCTAACCTTCCTGCATGCTGCATGTTTTCTCCGTCTTCCAGAAAAACTGTTTCCTAGATTTCCTACTTTCTAACTAATCAGCCAAAGGGATCTACCGAACGCAAAAAAAAAAAAAAAAAAAAAAAAAGCTTCATATGCGCTGCGCTCCAGCAGCAATGAGTTGAAATCACCGGGGCACAGATTATGAACTCAGCTGAAAAGTACATGAAGTACCAGAGAATATGGGCTGATATAAACGAGTTTTGGTGAAGCGATTTTGTGAATATAACAGCGGCCGCGCGCAGGACGCAGCTGGAGTATTTGAGCCATTACCGCCGCGTCCTCTCTGCTCATAGAATGCCCGCAAAGCTGAGTCCATAAATGACGTCATATATGTGGATACTGGATCTTTTTTCAGGCTTCCCGCAGTTTGAATTTTTAGGAAACCCACATCTTGATTCTGGGTTTAAAAATGCATTGTAATTACCGCGTTACTGACAATTGCACCGAGTAAATATTACCATTACAGCAAAAAGCAATGCATTACAGTAATTAATTACTTTTGTACCGCGTTACTCCCAACACTGTACATTAATACTGAGACACACAATGTTCTAATCCTAGAGTTTCACCATCTATTTCTTATCAGAAGCTAATGCAGGAGAAGATGTAGGAGACTATCCTCATGTTCAGCCTGCATGACAACTCAAGTGACTGATTATAATCAGAAATAAGAATTTAAAAATGGTTTTCAATGTTCCACACCTTTAAAATTTCTTCTTAAAACTAACAAGAACTTCTCCCTACCCACACATTTATCAACTCATTCAATCAAGATATGGTGGTCCACAAAAGGACCCGAAAACTCGTGATGCCTGCAGTTCTCTTGGCTGCGTTTGGGTTTCTCCGGACCAGGGAGTGGTGAGCTCATGTGGGACTCACTGAACTTTTTAAATCCCCTTTGAACCAAACCTTGTTCCACTTACCTGATACTGTTTGAGCTGTCCATTTATCAGCAAGGTGGACTGCTTCTCCACCTTCTCTGTGACGGCGTGAGCCACAGCATAATACGACTGGAGTCCTCGAGCAAACGCAGCTCCACTGTACTCGTCATCCACGTCCTGTTTAGCGTTCCTGAGTGCAACACATAGCGGGTTTCACTGTGAAGCAGACGAAAGCAACCCGGGCATCGTTGAACGTGGTAAATACTAAACAAACCCACTCAATGATATGTTGGACATCCACCTCAGACACATCTTCACTGTCAGGATCTGTGATCTTCTTCTTTTCCTCCACTGGCGCTGCTGAAGGCTGAGGCTCCTCCTCTTCCTCCTGACACACAACTCGGTTTGTGTAAAATTTCTCCTCAAACAGAAACTACAAGAGCGGCTTTCAGTAAAAGTGAAGAAAGCAACCCACCTCCTCCTCTTCTTCATCCTCACTGTCTTCGCTGTCTGAGCGTGGAGCAACCTCATAGCTGGACAGACACAAATATGCGGAAAACGCTTTTAAAACCACTATTTAAAGGTTGTTTTTTTATTTCTTTAGATTTGTTTTCGGCCCTTTGTCGGCAGCATTGTAAAGCAAACCTTTACAAAAACCTCCCAAATAAATCATTGGGCTCCAATTGACACTGAGACCTCCTGCTGGCTGCAGAGGAACCTGCTAAAGGCTTCTGAGAGGGTTTGAGGTGAACTCTGGAGCCTGATCCACGTGCGACCCTGAACCCCTCCAGTGGTTTGATTTCAGCCCAGTGAATCCTGGCGTTGAGCTGCTGGAATATCAGGGATGAGATTTATGGTTGTTCTACTGTTTAACTTCACCAAATGGTTAAATGATGGACAATTATGATCCTTGAGGGTTTCTGTCTGACCACGTCTACCTCAACGACGACGGCTCCTCACTTTCGTTGGGAAGTTCTTAACCCGGTTCTGCGGTCTCCTAAGACCTGGATGTTGATGATTTCTCCTGAAGCAGCATCTAACATCTCTTCCTTGATTTTTCATGGGTTTATTTGGGATGAAGAATCCTGTTGCCAGCCAAATCCCAGTATCATCCGGCCAGCAGCTAAAAGGAGCGTTTTGGTTTGTAAACGAGAACGGACGCCTCTTTCTTCTTATTCACTCCTGAGCTGTGGCTTCACCTCCGTAATTTCAGAGATATTTTCTCAGCTCATCTATCTCCATCTTTTTTTATACAGGTATGGATCCTTTGCTCAACCTGCCCTTTCATTCTGTGTTGCTGGTTCAACGCTCCACGCTCTCCGAACCATATCCATAGTTTATATAACTATTAAACTGAAAACGGAAGACTATCAATAAGGCGGGACAAAGACTTTGGACTGAAGCAGAAACGCCCCGCGGCTGGCTGGACCCTGCTCGCCCAATCACCCTTGCAGTAATTATTCACCAGGCTTGGACATGTCAGTTAGTTAGATCCAATTTTTTAAAGATAATATTAAAATATTGCAAATTTGCATGGTGTTTTTTTCCAAGTCAGGGACTTCCGTTTTACAATACAGCCTATTCGTTCACACTGGTGGTGATGAGCTCCAGTGAAGCCAGAGCTGGCCTGGGGAACACTGGCAGAGGCAAGGCAGCCTTACGGAGGCGCCACCAGTCCACCGACATGGGTGAACCCACCGGTTACAGGGTGAACCCCTAACCCCTGAGCCACTCTCGGCTCTCTTCAGTATCTATGATGGCTTCTGAGCATGAAGCTGGTTATTGCACTGACTGAAATCTTTTTCTCTACATGCAGCAGCGTTGAACCACAGTGTGTACGAGTGTGAGCCGCAGAGTAACACTTCCTCTTCCTTCCACCGCTCTCACCCAGGGTTCATCTCCAGCCAGGTCTCCAGCTGTCCAGCTTTGGGAGCGTCCACACCTGTTAGTATATTCCCACTGTCCACGTGGATGACCTTCACAGGCAGGTCGCTCATCTGGCTCGTCTCATCCAGAGGCTGAAAGAGGAGGAGGAGGATGGCTACCTTTAAAACAGCAGCTCACACGTGATCAGCTCAACTCTTAAGATTTATTTCCAAATCAAGTCCCTGAAAACGATTATACAAAGTTTATACCAGATTTTTAGACGGGAACAAGTCAAAAATTCATTATTGAAAGATGAAATTTGTAAGAATGACATCCTTTGATCAAATGTGCAGTCTATTGTTTTGAGCAAAAATATTACTTTCGCACTCCCGTTCCGTGAGTTTCATCGTTGTTGCCAGATCAGCACCAGAAGATTCTAGATGACAAGCGAAGACGAGTCATACACAGCTGATAAGTAGATAAATACATATCTGGTGTCAGCACTCTTGAATGTTTTACGGTAGGGAGCACTTACTACACTTATTATGGTAGTTTATCTCCAGCGTTGGAGGAAGTGTGGCTGTTTGCTGTCACGCTGTTAGCTTGTTGCTACAGTTCTGAACGACTAGTTAATGGAAGTAAAACGACACGATTGACTCATTATTCACTTCACACATAAATGTAACTGTGATATTAAGTTACTGGTAACTAAAAAGTACCTTGAGATGTTTTTAGAGCCGACTATTTGCTTCTAATTCACCGTTTGCGTTGTTAGCTAAACATTCGCCTGTTTCACCTGATATTAGAGTAAAACGAGGAGTAGCCGTGGCTTCCTAGGAGTGCAAAAAATAACCTCTGGGTCACTAATGTTAGTGGATTTGGCTCTAAACAACTCTGAAGCTTTCTGCCTGCCAGCGTTGAATTACAAATGCCGGCACTGCCGCGTTAGCTCGGCGCAGACTCGACAGCCCCGCAAACTCAAAGAGTGTAAACAAAGACCACGTCCCTCTTTCGTTATATTAAAGGAGAACAACAGACAAACCCCCCCAGCTGGCTGAGAATAAGATCAGTTTCAATGCAAACTTCCTTCCAACATGACTGAGACGTTAGTTTTGTGATTATTTCACAGTGTTACGTCCCCTCCTGAAGGTCTAGGAGGATGAGGGGACTAACACAGGAAAATAGGTGTAGGAGTGTGTGTGTGGATGAAGGACGAGGTGGTGAGAGTAAAAACAAAAGGATTTATTAACTAAGGGTGTCCGTGTCTGAACGGCAAAATAAGGCTTAGTAATAATAGTGACGAATAAGGTGGAAACTGAAAACAAAATAACTGCTTATGAAAAAGGCTTTCTGCCACACTTAAATCACAACCACCTAAACGAAAATATCCCCGGCTTATAAGTCCAATGGGGATAAAAGCCACCAAAATAAGAAAACTGACGCCTTGTCAGATAAATCCTACAAAAGAGGATAACCAAGCCAAAACCCTATAACAAAAACCCTTAGCAAGTACCCTTAAAATGTTTAGCCTTAGCAGGAGTTGTAAGCCGAGCTCAGGAGAATCGCAGACTAGCTCTGGATCTCCCTGACTGTCTGCTGCGTTCCTCTTTTAAGCCCTGTTGGCATGCTTGATAGCCGATGAAGATCGGCTGCTGTCTTCTCCGGCGTGCCTCTCTCCGAGGTCCTGAATTGGCGCTGGGGCGCTGGAGAGGGTAAAGGTTAGTTGACGCGTCCGCGAGGTCCGCACGGCTCCGCGCGGAAAAGTTGCGTCATTTTAACAACCACGCCCCTCCACCGCGTCTCCGCACGGTCCAGAATTTCCGCACCGTGCACCTCGGAAAATTTCTAACCACGTGGACGGACGGACGCGGAAAAACATGGCGGACCGGCAAGAACTAGTATGGCAGAGGTTCGTAAATACAGACATTTGTATGATTCAGCTCTCAAAGATCACCGTAATCAACATGTTGTTAATAATTCTTGGAGAGAAATAGCTCGCACTGTCGGAAAAGACGAGGACGCTGTTAAAAATGCTGGAATGCCATGTTGTAAACAGTCATTTCTACTTCTACTATGGTGTAGTGTTGGATGCATGCTGTAGAGCTCCATGCTGCCCCCTACAGTTTGGGAGAATATTGGCTCACCGCAGAGACGAGCCGCACGAACCATAAACGCTGCGAGTTGTGAAGCGTGTTCCATCCGCGAGCCGCATCACCGCGCGGAAAGTGAATGCGTCAAGCATAAACCAAGTTTTAACAAGCAGGTTCAGGCGCTGTTCCTGGTGCTGAATCCTCGGCAGTGTGGACAAAAGGCTCAGATTGAAATGAGAGGATGGACCGAGGGGACGAGGGTCGTCACACACAGTAGAATTCTTGCATATTGCACCTTTAATTATGTAAGTGAGAATGTTGGTCTTTTGCTCTCGCGTGATGTGTGAGATACATTAGAGAAAGATGGGCGAGTGTATGACTGAGATCATTTCTACCTTTTGCTACCAACAGCGGGGGCGACCTAAACCAACTTCCACTGACTTGGCTCAACTTGATTCTGTTAACCTGAGGAACAAGTTCTAAAAATGACCCCATAAAACTGGTTTGCTTTGACAGCTAGGCTTTTGTTATTATGAACCCAAACAAGGTCTTCTTCTACAGAAACACGACCCTGATGCTCACCTCTCCATCAGGCCCCAGAGCAGGAGTCTGGCCCTCGGCGTTCTCCATCTGCAACAACCACATTCGGGTCTCAGTGTGTGAGCGTGGGCAAGGCATGTCAGAAAGTATCAGTCTAAAATAATAACGCCACACCTTCTTCTTTTTCTTCTTTTTCTTTTTCTTCTCCTTCAGAGCCTGAGCAGCTTTGTGGGCTCGGACCAGCTCCGTCAGGTTGGCCACATACTCATCAGTTTGCTGCAGCAGGTAGGCCAGGCGCTTGTCCTTCTTCTGGTCGATCAGTTTACGGTAACCCTCCTCATCTTCAGCCTGGGAGGAAGAACGGACAGTTGTAAAGGTGAGGGTTTAAATCCTGCTCAAAGTGTGTCGTGGATTCAGTCCGGCATCTTCTTACCATGAGCCTCCTCATTCTCTCTTTCTCAATACGCTCATTCTCCTTCTTCTGCTCCCGCTCCGTGTTGGCGTGATAGGTGGCCACAGCTTTGGTCAGTTTCTGAATTTTCCCCGTAACTGAACGGTGATACTCCTTAAAGTCTTTGGCATGCTGCAGGATGCTGTTGAGGTACTCCTGGGATTAAAAGATGAGTGAATAAGTGCAGCAGATTTGACACTCTCGCTGAAAAACTCACAAATGGACGTTTACCTGATGTTTCTGTCTTCGTTTGCGCTCTTGTTCAATCTTCTGCTGTTTCTCCAGTTTCTCTGTGATGCGTGCTTCCCTTAGGGACTGACGTTTGCTTCGCTTATAGGCCTTCGCATCGAGAGCGGTCTCCAATGCCGTGTCACGCCGCATACACACCACCACCTCTTGGCGCAGCTGTGGACACAGAAACATAAAGTCACCACTGAGATCCTGACCAGAGGACCACCTTAAACACACCCACAGCTAAAGACAAGGGCATGTTGCTGCTGAGAAGAATATTTTAAACATTTTGTAATACGTTTCTTAATAACAGTTAGAAAGAATTACTATTTTACTTTGAAGACAGCCTCTATTTGCAGAAACAGGGTTTAAGTCCTAATGGGCAATTCCACAGGATGTAATCTATTACTTAGAAAAATTGAGTTCAGGAAAGCTGTGTAGACATGATTGTAATATTTATAATTGTAAACTCCAGGAATGGTCAGTTTCCACCTACAGTCTGACCTTTTCAGTATCTGCTCATTTGGAGACATAAGTCTTAACTGGTGCTTTTAATCTGAAAGAAAGATACTGTTGCTTGGCCAAGGTCGCTCTCAAGCTTTCCGCTTATCTCAGACTGCTTTGCTTCACAGAACAAGAAGAAGGAACTTTTATAATAATGAACCGTTATGAATAATGGAGTGTTAAAATAATCATATAATGCATGAATAATAATGGCTGAATAATAACAATGTTGTGATTAATCTGTGCTTAAATTACTGAAGTTGAAATGAATATTATGTTATGATCAGTAAGTTGATTTAACAAGTGAATCACTATCTACTGACAAGCTCACACACACTCACCGTATCTCCATGACGCAAGTTAAAGTTAAACGTCACTGCACATAGAGATTTCCTGATCCACGAATCAGAGCTCTTCCATCTGATGTTCTGAGGTTTGTTTGGTAAAACCTCTTTACGTGTCAAATTCTGGTTGGCCATGCAGTCAAAGTATGGCCGTTGTTAAAACAGAACTCACTTCCCGAGTGAGTCAGTTTTTGGGAAAGCTTCGGACCGGCCATCCGAGGCAAAACCTCTTTAACCCGGCACATCTTTGACAAGCTGTCAAAACCTGTTGCACACTACAGCTAACCACAAACGGTTCCTTCAGAATAAAGCTGAACCAGCTTCAACTCCTTAAGAGTCCTTCCATAGATGCAAAACCACCTGTTTGTCGTGACCTGGAGACGACTCTGGACTGACCTGGTCGTACTGCGGTTTCTCTACGGACATCGGTACTGTGAGGTCCATGGACTCCCCAATATCTCGGATCCAAAAGAGAGTCTCCGATAAGGGTACGTAGACTCGATGTGGTTTTAGAAACCATCACTATAGTTTACAGCAGAACAAATTCACTCCCACTCAGAACCCAGTTTCTTCAGATACGAGGGTTCTGATAACATCACACCTCACACTTAGATCCATTCATCACATGAAGTGTTCCTAGTTGTCCTGTTTTTAATTGTTTAGAAAATAATTTCTTACTTTGTATAAACTTGACTCTGTCTGAATTAATACGAAGTGTCTGACGATCCCTGAATAAACAAAGAATTCTAAATCTTCTGGTTAAACATTCAAAGACCAATCAGACTGGATTTCCATAGTTATATAGAAATTCACATCTTATTGGTCAAATGTAGCGTAGCATATTTAGCTTAAAAAGCACCCAAAATAAATACATATGCTAACCCTATATAATTTTTACACAGAAACACAGTTAAAATGCCTTTAGAGCAGAAGGAGGAGATGTCACCGTGCCTACCTGTCTCTGGAAGTTAAGCAGTCGAAGGGCTTTGAGCTCTATGGTGGCTTTGGTACGTAGATCACCAGCCAGAGAACCGGGTAGGTTCTCTAACTCAGCAATTCGATGAGCAATACGAGCCTGTAACCTGGAGAAGCAAAAACACAGAGGTCATTCCTTGAGGATGCTTTGTGTCGTCAGTAAAATCTGATTTTAGACAATCTGGCAACAGATTCTGTAATAAAAAAGTCCAGATGCTTAGTAAACTCGCACTCCAGTGGCCTGTGTGCAGGACAAGCTACCACCATGTTCACATCTATCTAAAGTCGTGTTTATGCTGTACAGAAAAAAAGTAAAGACCCTTGACAGGAAGCACATCCCAAAGGGTTTGCTGTACCTGTACTCCCTCTCCTGCAGTATCTCCACAGGGTCGAGGCCACAGGGCTTCTGAACGGGGGTGATGCGGTTCAGCTTGGTGTGATAAGGCATTATGGGAGGAGGCTGTGCTGGCTGGCCAGGAGACTGGGTCTGTGGGGGCATAACGGGGGAGGCAGCAGGAGGAACTGAAGGGGGGGCAGGAGAGGGTCTCCCGGTGGGTTGAGGGGGGATCAGTTTTTGGGGTGCATTAGACGGAGCAGCTGCATTCACCATGGGACCTGGAGGAAGGAGAAATCAAAGACGTCTCAGTAATCACAGTAGGCCATGTTAGACCATGTAAAAAACATTTTATCTCTGAGAGCACCACCTAGAGGTGGGAACGATGGATTTCACCTTTTAAGCCCCTCTCCGAAATACAGCTGGACGCAGCGCCTCTCATTCATGTGCGCATTTATATATACATATATACATTTGTTCCATTTATTTGAAAAATGTCAACAACTCTGCATCTGTTCACCATCTGAGTTGAACGCAGAATTCCTTCCACTGCAAGGCGGGGCTATTCAATTCCGGGCCTCGAGGGTCGGTATCCAGCACATTTTAGTGGTTCCTCTGCTCCAACACATTAGATTAAGTGGTTGAATCACCCGTGCAGCAGCTCATCAGCCTCTACAGAAGCTTGTTAATCACCTACTAATTGAAAGACTATGGAATAAACTACCTCTAGATATCAAACGATTAACAAATGTCGGAAGTTTTAACGCTAAACTCACGCACTGTTTTAAAGTTATTTAACTACTTGGCGGTTTCATTTAGCCTTTTATTAGCTACAAATTTGGAATGTTTTTATTTATTATTATTACTTTAGCTGTTATTTGTCATGACTTCACTTTTCGTGTATTTGGTTGCTTTATTTATTTTTACCATGGTTTTATTGTTGCTTTTCATCTTTTGTTTTTATGAATCTTTCATGTGTTGCACCTTCGGCTGCCTTGGTTGGTTGTAGTGTGGTGAAATGAAAATGAAAATTAAATCAGGCATGTTGAAGAAGGGTTAAAACCAAAACGTGCAGAATATCGGCCCTCGAGGCCCAGAATTGAATAGGTGGTGTAAGGTGTGTGTGTGTGTGTGTGTGTGTGTGGGGGGGGGGGGGGGTCTTGCCCGTTAGGGCCGCTATTTTGCATTTTTTTGTCATCTTCCTGCTTCAACACGTCTGATTTTAATCAGCAGGTGATTAACAGCCTTCTGCAGAGCTTCATAAGCTGCTGTTCACTATTTTGCCACGGGAGTCTCCCAGGGCTCTGTACTGGGACCTCTTCTCTTTGCCATCTACACCACCTCACTGGGTGAGATCATTCGATCAATCTCAGACTGTCTTTCTGATGTATCATGATGGATGAAATCCCACCATCTCCAACTCAACCTCTCTAAAACTGAACTACTTGTCATCCCAGCAAAACCATCCATACGGCACAATATCTCAATCCAAAATGATTCCCTATCTCTGGCTCCTTCAAAGGCAGTTCAAAATTTGGGTGTTGTGATTGATGACCAACTGACCTTTAAAGATAATGTTGCCTTTGTTGCTCGTTCATGCCGCTTTGCGCTGTATAACATACGAAAGATCAGACCATACCTAACACAATATGCCACCCAGCTCCTCTACTGTCATCTCCCATCTTGACTACTGCAATGCCCTTCTAACTGGTCTTCCAGCCTGTACTGTCGGACCTCTTGTTTATGTTTATGTATTTAGCAGACGCTTTTGTCCAAAGCGACTTACAAGTGATAATCGGCATGTTGCCGATGAGGCTAACAACAACAACCAATTTCCAGTCAGTCATAGGTGGCAGTGAGGCAGCTTGATGAATCATGGAGAGGAGGGAACAAGGAGTGGACAGTAGAGAGGGGGGATGGGTGCAGGGAGGGTAATAGTTTAGAAGATGCTCTCTGAAGAGCAGGGTCTTCAGGAGTTTCTTGAAAGTCGAAAAGCCCCTGTTCTGGTAGTGCTTGGTAGGTCATTCCACATTTGTAGAACGATCCATGAGAAGAGTCTGGATTGTCCTGAGCATGGTGTAGGCACTGCTAGCCGATGATCCTTTGATGACCGGAGCAGCCAGGCTGAGACGTAAGCCTTTGCAAGAGGATACAGGTAGATTGGAACCGTACCATCTCGGACTTTGTATGCTATTGTTAGCTATTTGAATTAGATGCGTGCAGCTAGCGGTAGCCAGTGGAGCTCACTGAACAGAGGGGTGCACGTGTGCTCTTTTTGGCTGATTGAAGACCAGACGTGCCGCTGCGTTCTGGACCATTTGAAGAGGTCTCACAGTACTGCCTGGAATGCCAGTTAGAAGGGCATTGCAGTAATCGAGGCGGGAGATGACAGTAGATTGCACCAGGAGCTGGGTGGCATGTTGTGTTAGGTATGGTCTGATCTTTCGTATGTTATACAGCGCAAAGCGGCATGAACGAGCAACAGAGGCAACATGATCTTTAAAGGTCAGGTGTTCATCAATCACAACACCCAGATTTCGAACTGCTTTTGAAGGAGCCAGAGATAGGAAGTCATTTTGGATTGAGATATTGTGCTGTATGGATGGTTTTGCTGGGATGACGAGTAGTTCAGTTTTAGAGAGGTTGAGTTAGAGATGGTGGGATTTCATCCATTTTGATATGTCAGAGAGACAGTTCGATATTCGTGCAGAGACAGTGTGGTCGTCCGGTGGAAATGACAGATAGAGCTGGATGTTGTCTGCATAGCAGTGGTAGGAGAAGCCATGTGATCGAATGCTCTCACCCAGTGAGGTGGTGTATATTGCAAAGAGGAGAGGTCCTAGTACAGAGCCCTGGGGGACTCCTGTGGTAAGATGGTGCACGGTAGAGGATTGCCCAAGCCGAGATATACTGAATGATCGTCCTCTACAAATGGTCCAGAATGCAGCAGTGCGTCTGGTCTTCAATCAGCCTATAAGAGCAAATGTCACCCCTCTGTTCATTAAGCTCCACTGGCTACCGCTAGCTGCAGACATCAAATTCTAATTGCTAGTACTAGCAAACAAAGTCCTGGGTGGTACAGCCCCCATCTACCTGACTCGTCTTGCAAAGGCTTACGTCTTGGCCCGGCTGCTCCGGTCCTTGGGGGATTGTCGGCTAGCAGTGCCTACACCTCGCTCAGGACAATCCAGACTCTTTTCATGTGTCGTTCCACAGATGTGGAATGACCTACCAAGCACCACTAGAACAGGGGTTTCCTTGTCGATTTTCAAGAAAGACCCAGCTCTTCAGAGAGCACCTTCTAAACTAGCACCCTCCCAGCACCTGTCCCCCACTCTACTGCACACGCCATGTTTGCCTCCCTCTATGATTGTTTAGGCTGCCTCACTGCCACCTGGGTTTGACTGAATAGTGTTTGGTGTAAACCTCAAGGGCAACCTGCTGGCTTGATTATCATCTGTAAGTCGCTTTGGACAAGTGTCTGCTAAATCCATAAACATAAGCTGCTGAACAGCCACTGAGTCAAGTGTGTTTGAGCAGAGAAACAACTAAAACATGCTGGATGATGGCCGTCCAGGACCAGGGTTGAGCACCCCTTGTCTAAAGTAAATTCTTTACTCCTCTTTGCTGCGTTTAAGCAAGTTTATTCCACAGGCTTTTACTTCCTTTTGTCTGTCTTTGAGCAGAAGCAGGCAGTAGTGGAATGGGTATTTTTTGTGGCTCTGAAGGCGGATGTAGCTTCTTCACATTTGGCCGTGTCTTTGCAGCTTTGCAAACAGCTTCAAAACGCTGCTCAGTCTAGGTTCTTCTCCAAACTCACATGCATGCTTGTGATTGACATCTGTACGTAGGCGGTTGTTTAACGTGATTGGCTAATGCTGAGCGGCCGTTGACTCAAACTGCATAGGGCTCTATGGGACTGGGGAGGCCTTAACAAAACTAAGTGGACATATTGCCTACATTATATCACAGTACAGAGGAAGACCATCACAGATTTCTAGAAGTCACACATAACTCGGAATGGGGGAAACTCCAGATTTCTGATCAAACCAATTGAATTTGTAAGTTGTTGAGATCTGGTGAGTGAATCAGAGTCCAGTACCATTTATAAGCATGGATTCGACAAAGATGTTCACAACAAGTCTGACGCCAAAACCACAAACCTTCAGGCCAGGATTTGAGGGGCCCATTTGGGTTTGGTCCTTGCATTCCAGCTGGGGTCCCAGAAGGACCAGGGGGAGGCATGTTGGGACCCATCATCCCTGCAACATCAGAAGATAAATATCATCTCTAACTTAATGGTTGCTTTATAACACAGATCATTTATATTTGGTGGAAAATATTTTTAAAAAGCCTTCTAGGTTAGTTGTTAGTTGGTGAAGTTTTTAGGATGGTTCTGTTAGTGACCATGTCTCACTGGACTGTACCAGATCATGAAAGCTCACCATGAGCTCGGCTGTAGCCAGAGCCCATTGGCCCAGGTCCTGATCCTGGTCCTGCCGGTCCACTTCCTGGTCCTCCACCAGCTCCAGGGACCAGGCTGGTCATAGGCTGCTGCTGCATCCCTGGCATCGGCCTCTTTCCTTGGACAGCCATTTGGAGATGATCCGGTAGAGGTTGTCCCCGAGCCAGCATCTTATAGGCCATGATCTGGGCTCTGAGTTGATGAAGCTGGTTCTGATTGAAGGGAGTTGGACCACCAGGTCCACCACTGTCAAGGCCAGAACCAAGACTTGAGACACTGGAGCCAAGACTGGGTCCGGGGCTAGGGCCTGGTCCAGAGCTACCTGGAGGTCCGGATCTGGCATTAGGCCCTAATGTGTGTTGATCTCCACTGGGGACATCTAAAGGGGCTGAGGAAGAACCAGGACCAGATGAAGAGGAGGAAGAGGAAGCTGATGGCATCAGAGGGCCAGACGACGGCCCATTTGAAGCAACAGGACTGGAGTGGTCCGAACTACCTAATGGAGAGTGGTACCCTTGAGGGCACAATGCAAACAAACACAAAATGAACTCATCACCATTGTCACTCTTTACCTCTTCCATGCCAAGCTAAGCTAGCCAGGCGGTGTCTGTACTTTCGTTTTTCAACAAGCATGCAGACAAACACAGCAATGTTATTGTTTAAATCCTGGTGTAACAGTGAGGTGTATTTTCCAAAATGTCAAACCCATTTTCTGCCTGCAACAAACCCAAACAACGAATCACTAGCTAACTCTCAATAAACCCCAGCAGACTGGGATTTCAACAAGTTTTTCAGGCTGGATCAGAAAGGTAATCCAGACAAACACCACACATCTTTCATACAGCAGGGACAAAGCAAAAATATAAAACCAGCTGTTTGGCTTCAACACTTCCAAACAGTCCAAAACCAATGCTTCATTCATGCTGGAGCTCGCCTTCAGCCACAGAACTGCCTGTGAGCAGTTCTGCCCACATGACCCTACCATTATAGATGAGCTACACCTTTTTACACAACTAGAGTGGCTTAAGATAAGCGTGTGGAGCTTGTTTACCTTGTGAGTGTTGGTCCAGAGGACTGGGTGGGGGGCCCATCCCACTGTGCCCTCCCTGTCTCATAGACATTCCCTTTATCTGGCTGAAACGGCTCTCCTCACCCAGACTCTTCTCATGCATGCCCTCCATGGGCTGGAGGAGAAACCAAACAAAGCTAAAGTTAGTCTAAAAATCTCTCTCTGTGTATGCCCTCTTTAAAAAGTACACATTTAATCAGTAGCTCAATTAGTTCAAAAAACAGTGATCTTTGTCTCATCACTCCAGAGTATATAGTACCAGTAGTCTTCATCACTTTCAGCATGGGCTCTAGCAAATCCTAGGTGTGCTTTTTGTGCATGGGCTTTAGGAGAGGCTTCCTTTGTGGACGACACCCATGCATGCCATTCCTCTGCAGTGTGCGCCGTATGGTGTCACGGGAAACGGTCACTCCAGTTGGGCTTTCTACTGCTTTAGCTGACTGCAGTGAACTTGCATGGTGATTTTCTACAACCCTTCTCATCAGAAGGAGCTCCTGTCGAGAAGTTAACTACGTGGACGGCCTGGACGTCTCTGTAAGATTGGTTGCACTTCCATCTTTCTTAAATGTTTGGATCGCTTCTGCTACAGTATTGTGACTGATACGTAAAGCTTTGCTGGTCTTCTTGTAGCCCTCACCTTCTTACCATACCATACCACCTTTATTTATATAGCACTTTCAAAACACAGCCATACGGCTGACCAAAGTGCTGAACAGTCGCACAATAACAGAGATGGAAAACATAAAACAGTACTATGAAATACAACCAACAATAAAAAAGACATGAACAGAAATTATTTCCTTTCTCAGATTTTGTGAAATTTCTCTTCCACGTGGAGCCGTTGCTGACAGCATGAAATGGGAAGGGCTTTGCATTTTAAGTCATGTCCTTTTATAGTCACCTGTCTGCTGGACACCTCTTAGACTCACCTGTGGTTGAACGCCTGTTAAATAGAATTCTGTCGTCTTAAGTGTGGCTTTTCTCCTAAGACTATGTGTGACAAGACTGCGTGTACAATTTTTTGCAACATGAGCTTGAATGGATTTGTTACGAAAATCTCTTTTTTTTGTGTGAAAATGAGCAAATCTTGTTTGCAATCAATGGCCCACATCTGTGGGAGTATGCTATAGTTTGGTATATAGAAAATGTTGATTCTGACAGGAAACTAAAGGTTTTCTGACTAATGTAACGGGGTCGTGTACTCATTTACGCTGAGCACTAGTATATATATATATATATATATATATATATATATATATATATATATATATATATATATATATATATATATATATGTATACATATACATATATACATATATGTGATTAATCAATTTATATATATATATATATAAATTAATTAATCACATATACATATACATATATACATATATATGTATATAAATTAATTAATCATACACACACACACACACACACACACACACACACACTCACACACACACACACACATATATATATATATATATATATATATATATATATATATATATATATATATATATATATGATTAATCAATTTTATATATATATATAAATTAATTAATCATATATATATATATATATATATATATATATATATATATATATATATATATGTATGTATACAGTGATCCCTCCCTACTTTGCGGTTCGTTTATCACGGATTCACGACTTCGCAGATTTTTTCTTTGGAGCCTTATTCAAGGGAAATTCGCCGATTCGCAGAAAATTTTCACCACTTCGCGGTATTTTTCTATGCGAAATATCAAGAAATTCCTGTTTTTTTTCATCAGTTTCATCATAAAATGCACTTTTTGTAATAAAACTATTAAAAAAAAACAAGTAAAAATACAATACTATGTAAAGGGAGGGTTTTAAAAGTCTGAATACTGAATACGTACCTGTTAAATAAATACGGTAAATATGGTGTCCCTACTTCGCGGATTTTCACCTATCGCAGCCAGGTCTGGAACGCATCTACCGCAATAAACGAGGGATCACCTGTATAAATTAATTAATCACATATACATTTATATATACATAAATAAAAAAACGACGAAATTTAAACAATGAGAGTCAGGTATTGCCTTTTTATTTTTACTTTTGTCAGATTCAACTTATTTCTGTGTCCATTGTGGATTTTTCTTTCATTGACCAAAGGGTACCAACAATTTGGTCAATAGCTAAAGATCACATGAACTCATCTTCTGATGGCTACTTCCAGCAGGATCACGCACCATGTCACAAAGCTCAGATAATCTCTAACTGGTTTCTAGACCATGACCATGAGTTCACTGGACTCCAACGACCGCCCCAGTCACCAGATCTCAGTCCTGTCAAGAACCTTAGAAGATGTGGTGGAACGGGAAGAAAACGCTGGAGATAAAAACGTTTCACTTAGTCTGACAGAGTTTCTAAATTTAACAGAAACAGCTGCAGTGGCACAAGGGCGTGCGAATCATGACAGAGACAGAGTAAAGTGCCCCCAACTACTAAAATGTCTTCAATCACTTTTCTAAACACACGAGTTTTTGGAATCTAGCTCTTCAACATGCAGAGCGTTTTTTCATTCAGCTCAAATAAAATTAATCACTCAGGAGTTGTTCTTCACACACATGTACTAATAATGCCTTTTCTTCTTATAGTTAAGGCAGCTCTGGTCAGGAGCTGATCCCAACAGTGACTTTTGCTCTGAAACCATGCAGATTAAATCAAATCCATAAGACGGGACTATCCAAACAAACAAAAAGCAAAGAAACCCTTTTATCTGTTGCACATTCTACACATGATGCATGATCCTTACAAGCTACCTCACAGTAAATGTGGCTCATCATCACACTTCTAACAATCTCACATATGACCCAGTTCATATTATTAAAGAGCAGAAATAACATTTCTCTAAGGTTTGTTGAGTTTGTATTTTTATAGTTTATTGGAAGCCTTTAAAATGCTAATAATGCATATTGTAAAATCATCACATTTGCAATGTGTTGTGCAGCTCTACAACTTAACAATAAAAAATATATATAAATAAAGCCCATGAAGACCAGTGGTTTATGCTAGGAACCCCAGAAGCCGCTATATCAAATACAGGCCGTTTAATGGAGTGGCTGGTTAAAGGGACTAAATACAATCCACATTTGACTTTGTCATATTGTTGTTTCCCTGTGTTTGGCCAGGCTTCATGATGTCCATGAATTCAGACGTTTATTTGACAAACCACCAGCAGTTCCTTACCAGTTACGCCAACAATATACTGAATAAATTTCCAACTAAACAAAGAAAACATTTTGTTTGCTTTCATATAAAGTAATATTAATGTAATTATATTTGGGGAAAAATTATTTGTACATGTATAATAAATCTTTATAATTTAATATTATTTTCAATTTTGTGAAAAATTTCTAGTTTATTTTATTGCATGCATCAAATCAAATTTTATTTATTCAGCACTTTGCATGATAAAATCAGCACAAAGTGCTTTACATAAAAAATATTAAAATGAGCTAAAAATGGTTGAATTCATCAATGGAAAGTCGAGGTAAAAAGGTGGGTGTTGAGCCTCCTTTTAAAAACATAAACACTTTCAGCAGCCCTGAGGTTCTCCGGCAGACCGTTCAATAAGCACTAACAGGTGTTCTTACCCATCAGTGTGGCCATCAGTTTAAAGGATCAAATCCACAAAAGGCAATGTTTGAGTTGGGATATTCAGGGGCGTGTCCAGGGAGTGGCCTGGGGTAGCACATGCCACCCTTAGAATCGGACTGGCCACCCCACTAAGTTCCAGTTTAAATTGACTTTACATTGTCGACAAAAGGCTTGGGTTGTAAACTCCAAAATAGTGTGTGGTTGTGTGCACCTTTCACCTCGTTTTCTAGCCCAGGCGTGTAGTATTAATATTATTTAATGTTTTTTCATATTCACATACATAGTATTTAGAGTCCCACTCAACTCCAGTTGGTGGCAGTAATGCAACAAGAAGTGACTTGCTAACCACCACAAAAGTAGAAGATGAAGAGGGAAAAAAATGGTGATTGTGCAATGTGAAACTCAAAAATTCACTAGACAGTAAATAAATAAATAAAAGATTTGTGTAAATAAATAAATAAGCATAACCATTGGTGCCACCCATGAATAAATAAGTGCCCCACATGGGCCACCCAATTTTAAAAGTCCTGGACACGGCCCTGGGGATATTGGTAAAATAATGCATCAGTAAATGAGTGGAACATGTGTTGGAAAGTAAAAGCTGACAGCGCTGATGTTAGAGGAGGGAAACATAAGTGGTCCTCCAGGACAGGACATGTCTCATATAGTGATCGGGGGTCACAGGAGGACTGCTGGTGTGTAAAGTCCTTACTTTGTGTAGAGGGTGCATGTTATCCGGACCGTATCCCGATGGCCCCGGCTGGGATAGTCCAGAGGGAGGAGGACCGGGGCTGGGACCCATTATGCTATGAGAGGAGCCTGGAGAGGGACCGGGGCTGGGGCCCAGCATAGCACCGGGAGAGGGACCCGGACCGGGAGATGGCCCGGGGCGGGGGGTGCCTCCCATGGGAGGATCAGGTGTGGACATCGTCTTGGATCTCCTGCTCCTTGATGAGCAGAAGGAACCTGAGACAAAAGGAGCAGAGAGAGAATGTTTGGATATCTGGTGTTTTAATCAGCACCAGAGATGATTCTGGTTCAACCATAATAATATTTATAAAATATGATGTCAGATATTTAGGTGCCACTGCACCTTAGTATTACATTTTAGGGGTCTAATTTCTGCAGGGCGAATTTAGTGAAACGCCTTTCTGACGAGTCTCCATCCTCCTGCTGCGCTGCGCCAAATCCCGTTGGGCCGTCATCCAGAGGACCGCTCCGCTCCACCTGATACCAGCGCGGGGAAATTCTCTAAATTATGCACATGAGCCCTGCTGCTGAGAACACCTCGCTCAGTCTTTAAAGTCAGCCTAGTTAAACATAAAAAGGGGGAATGGCGGACTGTGCTTGTGCGACTGACCTACCGGCATCATCAGGACAGGAAGTCCCGGCCCAACCTCTGCGCTCCTGAGCACAAATTCAGCCGAGATTGATAAAGACGCTGCGGCTGCAGCAATTAGCCTACTCACCCTGTTTGTGATCCGCCTTCGAGCGTTGATTTGTTTCACCGACGTGGCTCGAGCGCCCCCCTACACCGCTCCTATGACCGAATGTCTAGTCATAACCACCCGGCACTGCGCATGCGTGCGCTCGGCGAAAGCGAGCCTCCATCCCCCCCCACCCCCAAACCAGATTCGGAATCCAAAATCATGACAATTGAGTAAACAGCAACAAGGACAAAATACAGCACCGACAAATCCATCTTCAAAGAAGACACTGTGGCAGGGGCGGATCTACAAAATTATTGATGGGGTGGCAGAAGAGGGGCAAACATTTTTCTAGGGTGGCAATACACACACACACACACACACACACACACACACACACACACACACACACACACACACACACACACACACACATATATATATATATATATGTATATATATATATATATATATATATATATATATATATATATATATATATATATATATATATATATATATATATATATATATATATATATATAATTTCAATGCACTGAGATATTGTACTTTGGTTCTGTTGTTCACTCAGAAACACATTTTCCTTTTTCTTTTCCCAGTATTTACATTTTCATTTGTTTTGGGTCCTCGTTTAATAAGCATAAAGGCCCATTACGAAAATAAAACACATAGTAAAATTATATCCTTCCTACAACAGCTGAATGCGTCAGTTTCCATGTTGCTCAGCACAACTATTTACACATTCATCAAGATCCAAATATTTTGCCCGTTTTGATTCAATGCTGAGTACAGCCTAGCTTCATAGTCTTTTCTCTGCCAAAGCAGACTGCAAATAGGTCTTTATGAGCCTGAGAGTTGAAAAACTTTGATTTTTCTTGAATTTATAGCTGCCAGCTGAGGTGGCAGCAGGGGTAGCAAGGCTTTCTTTTAGGGTGGCAACTGCCACCCTATGCCACCCTTGTAGATCCGCCCCTGCACTGTGGACATGTTTAACAACTCACTGACAGGAACAACAGGTTATTACTAAACTGAATCTGTAACAGGGGTTTCCTCTGATAAAACGTTACAACAGAGCAGATTTGTTCTCATGCTCCAGTATCGTTGTATTGACGATGTTGTAGAACGTCTTTAAAATCTCAGCTATAATGACTTTTATTTTACGAGTTGTTTTGTATAGGATGAGTAAATTCCAAGCTTACCATCTGTTCAATGAGCGGCAGGATTTGTCATATTGCTTAAAAGGCTCTTCATGTACCCAGTGGCAGTTCTACATTCAAATACTTCCTGTGCAAGACTCCATATGCAGGGATGATGGACATAACTTTTACAATTTATTTGGCTACTTAATTATTGTTGATTTGGACAAATGATATGCTTGAGCTCAAATGTACACCGGCCCATATTCTTCTCCAGGACAGACCAAGATGCTCCAATGGGCGTGGATGCTCTGGCGTATTTATCGCCCCCAGTTCCTCTGCATGTCTTCCTGCTGGTGGGATTACTTCCATCTAACACGTCCTGATTTGTCCCGGATGTTGGCTCTGTTATTCATCCTGCTGTGGTCTGTTGGGGTGCAGGCAGCTCTGGTTGAGATTGGAAGAGACTGAACAAGATAGTTAAGAATACTAGCTCGGTTTCGAGCTGCCCATTGGATTCTGTTTAGGACGTGTGTGAAAGGGGGGTGTTGGCAAGGATGACCTTCATCTCGGAAAACCATTCCCACTCACTGCATTCCACTGTGGAGACCATGGACAGCTCCTTCAGTGGCAGACTACTTCCAAGATGTGAAACAGAACGCTACCACGGTACCTAAGAAATAGTCTTGTGCTTTATAAAAATAAGCTTCGACAAGCTAGAACTGCTTATTTTTCATCGCTAATTGAAGAGAATAAGAATTTTCCAAAATTTCTTTTCAGTACAGTTGCCAAACTAACACAGAATCATAGCTCTGAACCATCTATTCCCTTAGCCCTCAGCAGCAATGACTTTATGGGATTTTTCACAAGTAAAATTAATTCTATTAGAAACAAAATCATTAGCATCCTCCCTAATGTGATTTCTTCTTCCTCAGTAAGTGAGGCAGCATCAGAGGTGACTGTAGAACCTCATCTGTGTTTGAACCGTTTTGATCCAGTTGAGCTTTCAGATTTATCAAAAATATTAGCTTCATCTAAACCTTCCACTTGCATTTTAGATCCAATCCCAACCAAATTATTTAAAGATGCATTTCCTTTGGTTACTGCCCCCATTCTAGATACAATCAATCTATCCTTAGTAAATGGGTATGTACCACAAGATTTTAAGGTTGCTGTAATCAAACCTTCCCTTAAGAAGCCTTCTCTGGATCCAGATGACCCAATGAATTATAGACCAATATCTAACCTTCCATTTTTATACAAAGTCCTGGAGAAATTAGTGGCCATCCAAGTATGTGAGCATTTAAACACGAATGCTCTGTTTGAGGAATTTCAGTCTGGTTTTAGAGAGTATCACAGCACTGAAACTGCGTTAGTGAGAGTTACAAATGATATTCTCATGGCCTCAGATAAGAATCTTGTGTCTGTTCTAGTCTTGTTAGATCTCAGTGCTGCTTTTGACACAGTTGATCACAATGTTCTTTTAGAAAGACTTGAACATGTTGTAGGGATCAAAGGAGCAGCACTAGGCTGGTTTAAATCCTACCTGTCTGTTAGATATCATTTTGTAAAAGTACATGACAAATCTTCATATTCCAGGGTTACTTGTGGAGTACCACAGGGTTCAGTGCTTGGACCAATTCTTTTTACTATATATATGCTCCCAATTGGTAAAATCATTAGACAGCACGGGATAAACTTCCACTGTTATGCTGACGATACTCAGTTATATTTATCCATTAACCCTGATGAACCTAATCGGTTGGGTAGATTACAGGCTTGTCTTGAGGACATAAAAAATTGGATGACTCAAAACTTTTTGCTTTTAAATCAAGACAAGACTGAAGTTCTCATCTTTGGACCTGAAATTCAGAAAAGGAAATTGCTTAGCCAATCACCTGACCTGAATGGCATTACATTAATCTCCGAGAACAAAGTAAGGAACCTTGGTGTTATCTTTGACCAGGACATGTCTTTCAAATCCCACGTTAAACAGGACTTTCTTTTTCCACCTTCGGAATATTGCTAAGATTAGATGCATCCTTTCCAGGAGTGATGCTGAAAAACTAGTTCATGCATTTATTACATCAAGACTGGATTACTGTAATCATTACTCTCAGGAAGTCCACAGAATGTAGTTAAAAGTCTTCAGCTTGTCCAAAATGCTGCAGCTAAAGTTCTGATGAGAATTAAAAAGAGAGATCACATCTCTCCTGTCTTAGCTTCCCTACATTGGCTACCTGTTAAATTTAGAATAGATTTTCAGATCCTTCTTCCCACATATAAAGCTCTTAATAATCAAGCTCCATCATACATCAGTGACCTGATTGTTCCATATGTTCCTAACCGAGCACTTCGCTCTCAGACTGCAGGTTTACTGGTGGTTCCCAGAATATCTAAAAACAGGATGGGAGGCAGATCTTTTAGTTATCAAGCTCCTCTCTTGTGGAACCAACTCCCAGCTTTAGTCCGTGAGGCAGACACCTGGCCTACTTTTAAGAATAGGCTTAAAACATTTTTATTTGATAGGGCCTATGGTTAAAATCTGATGTTGTCCAGATCTAGGCTAAGTGGGGGAGTAGAGGGAGGTGGAGTATAAAGTCAGTAAAGATGGCTCTCCCTTGCCCTGCCTCCATCTAAAAGGCTAGGTTATCCAGAGTTATCTCTGTAGTTATGCTGCTATAGGCTTAGACTGCTGGAGGACACACTGACCACTTTCCACACTCTACTACTTTCTTCTACAATTTGCTCTTTAACTGCATTATTTCCTGCTATTAACTTTATTTTCTCTCTAAGTGTTTTTCTCCCCAGAAGAAGCTACAATGACGTTCTGCTGAGCTGTGGTGGCCTCATGGAGGGGGCCATCGTCTAGCACACTGCTGCTAACCCCTTAAACATTCTCCCTCTCCTGATATGGTGCCATATAAAATAAACTTGAATTGAATTGAATTAAGTGTGTAGAACACCTCAGCTTAACTGGTACTGGCACTATCCTGGTACACACCAACATCACTGCTGTATTCAGTAAGTATGCAATACCTGGATGTACATGTCTGTCCTTTCTGCTGTTTATTCTCGGAAACTCAATTTTCTATTTTTAATCCTTACTTTGAATGCTGAAGGTTACAATAATAATTAATAATTTAAGTCTATTCTATTATTTTCAATGTTTTTTTTTTGTTTTTTTTTCTATTCTATCTTTGTGGTTCGTCAGTGGCTCACAAAGTCCTGGCAGCCATTTCTGCTTGCTATGAGACTTTTAATGGGGTTTTTTCTTCTGGTGCTTACCCTTTAGCTGTTGCAGCTTTTGAAAGAAGTTTGCAAACTGAGACCTGTTAGTAGGCCCTCTGTCCCTGCTAGGGACCTGATGATGGTGCTAGAAGCCCTTTGTGCCACTTCATCAGCAGGCTGTTTTACTGAAGTGAAGGTAAAACTCATTTAACCCAACAGAAAGGATGTAACAGTGACAATCTGGGAGAGTTTCAGTTAAACATAAGTGTGTTAATCTGAGAGAAAACACCAGAATGAATTTACAGCTGTTCAACACTTAAAATAATAAAAACCAGAAGCTTTAGGGTGGTCCTACACCACCTACTGCTATAAACATCAGTGCAACTAAAGACAGACAATAAATAACACTAACCTGGCTTTCACGTGGAAAATTCTGATAAATAAACCTGATAAGGAAGGAAAATTATAGGATGTACAGCAGATGGGATTCTACACAGCAACAATATCAGGCAGCAGAGGTGCTGACTATGAGGGTTGTCAGATTTTTGTGTGACTGCACACTAGAAGTGCTTCAGAAGTTCCTCCGCTCTGTAAAGTAGCCAGGAGTCACAGTTAGACCACAGCGCCACTCCATTTAGAGGTGACATCATCTATGCAGCAGGACATCAGACCGTGAGCTGTGCACCATTAAGCTTTTCCTTTTGAAGGAGCAATAATTATATATATATATATATATATATATATATATATATATATATATATATATATATATATATATATATATATATAAATGTCCGAGGCTGCCACTTGCAGGGAACAGGTGACGCAATGTTCTCATCAGTTCACAGGAAGACAAACTCATCACTGTTTTGTCTGTTGTTGCTTCTGCTCAGTTTTCCTGGAGGCAGGATGTGAGTAGGGGGTCTGCTGGGGCTGCTGCTGTGGTCCTCAAGTCCATAGTCCAGACTCTGGCCCTCAACAAAGGTAAAGATGGGGTACTTCTCCTTGGAGGATGACAGAGCCTTGGAGGAAAACACCATCAGTCAGACAATGGAACAAGATCCAGTGCTCCTATGTAGCTTTCCTGCACTAGAACACATACAACCACAAATAATGTGGTCCTGATCAAGAGTTTAAGACCACTTGAAAATGATCAATGGTTATATTTGGCATGAATGGATTTAAAAAAGGTTCCAAGTAGAGCTTCAACATGCAACAAGCAGAAATGAGAAAACATTTTCTCACTAATACCTGATAATAAACTAACATGTAAATTAGTAATAAACTGTTGCTTTTTTTATCACACACACGTCTTCTTGCTGTATCATAATACCATTAATGTAACAACTATAACAAATAACACTGATAACTAACATATTATATTAATACTGATGTAATGACTAACATTTTATAATAGCACTAATATAATAACTATAACATATTATTACACCCCTCCCTGGGCTACCACCTTACCATGGTGGAGGAGTTTGAGTGTCCCTATGATCTTAGGAGCCAAGTTATCTGAGGCTTTATGCCTCTGGTAGGGTCACCCATGTCAAACAGGTCCTAGGTGAGGGATCTGACAAAGTGCAGCCCATAGACCCCTTATGATTAACAATACAAATAGTGTTCCCTTGGCCGGACACATGTCACTGGGGCCCCTCTCTGAAGCTAGGCCTGGAGGTGGGGCACGCTGGTGAGTGCCAGGTGGCCGGGCTTTCCCCATGGAGCCTGGCCGGGCACAGCCCGAAGAGGAAACATGCGTCCCCCTTCCAATAGTTTCACCACTTGTGGGAGGGTCCAAAGGGGTCAGATGCAATGTGTGATGGGTGGTAGCTGAAGGCGGGGACCTTGGCAGTCTGATCCTCAGCTACAGAAGCTGGCTCTCGTTACGAGGAATGTCAGGTCCCTGGTAGGGAAGGAGCCTGAGTTGGTGTGTTAGGTTGAAAGGTTTTGACTAGCTATAGCCGGACTCACCTCGACACATGGCTCTGACTCCAGAACCAGTCTCCTTGAGAGGGGATGGACACTATACACCTCTGGAGTTGCCCCCCACTGAGAGGCGTTGAGCAGGGGTGGGCATACTTGATGCCCCCCCATCAGCCTGTACGTTGGGGTTTACAACATGAGGGTAGCCTCCCTCCACCTTCGTGCTGGGGGACAGGTGCTGACTGTTGTCTGTGCTTATGCACCAAACTGCAGTTCAGATTACCCACCCTTTTTGGAGTTCTTGGAGGGGGTGCTGGAAAGTGCTCCTTCCGGTGACTACCTCGTTCTGCTGGGGGACTTAACGCTCACGTGGGCAACGACAATGAGTCGCGGTGTGGTGGGGAGGAACGGCCCCCCGATCTGAATCCGAGCTGTATTTTGTTATTCGACGTTTGTGCTCGTCATGGATTCTCCATAATAAACACCATGTTCAGACATAAGGGTGTCCATATGTGCTCTTGGCACTGGGTAACCTTAGGCCGCAGCTCGATAATCGACTTTGTTGTAATCCCATCTGATTTGCGGCAGGGCCAAGCGGGACGCGGCCCGGGTGGTCACAGAGGCAAAAACCCAGGCATGGGAGGAGTTCGGTGAGACCATAGAACAAAACTTCCGTATGGCTTCGAGGAGATTCTGGTACACCATCCGGCGCCTCAGAAGGGGAAAGCAGTGCGCTACCAACACTGTTTATAATGGAGACGGTGTGCTGCTGACCTTGACTCGGGACGTTGCGGATCGTGGGCAGAATACTTCGAAGACCTCTTCAATCTCATCGGCACATCTTCCAGTGAGGAAGCAGAGTCCGGGGACTTTGGGATGGGCTGTCCAATCTCTGGTGCTGAGGTCACTGAGGTTGTCAAAAAGCTCCTCAGTGGCAAGGCCCCGGGGTGGATGAGATCCACCCAGAGTTCTTTAAGGCTCTGGATGTTGTAGGGCTGTGTTGGCTGACAATATCACGTGGACATAGGGTGCAATTCCACTGGATTGGTAGACCAGGGTGGTGGTCCCCCTAATTAAAAAGGGTGACCGCAGGATGTGTTCCAACTATAAGGGGATGACACTTCTGAGCCTCCCTGGTAAAGTCTATTCCGGGGTTCTGGAGAGAAGGGTCCAGCGGATTGTCGAACCTCGGATTCAGGAAGAGCAATGTGGTTTTCGACTGGGCAGTGGAACACTGGACCAGCTCTATACCCATAGGAGGGTCCTGGATAGTGCGTGGGAGTTTGACCAACCAATCTACATGTGTTATGTGGATTTGGACAAGGCATTTGACTGCATCCCTCGGGGGGCCCTCTGGGAGGTACTTCGGGAGTATGGGGTACCAGGTCCTTTGATAAGGGCTGTTAGCTCCCTGTATGACTGGTGACAGAGGTTGGTCAACATTGCCGGCAGTAAATCGAGCTTGTTTCCGGTGAAAGTAGGACTTCGCCAAGGCTGCCCTTTGTCCCCGATTCTTTTCACAACTTTTATCGACAGGATTTCGAAGCACAGCCAAGTTGTTGAGGGGATCTGATTTGGTGGCCTAAGGATTGCATCTCTGCTTTTTGCAGATGATGTGGTCCTGTTGGCCTCATCAGAACGTGATCTCCGGCTCTCATTGGAGTGATTCGCAACAGAGTGTAAGCAGCTGGGATGAAAATCAGCTCCTCTAAATCTGAGACCATGGCCTTCAGTCAGAAAAGGGTAGAATACCTTCCCCAGGTCAGGGATGAGGTCCTGCCCCAAGTGGAGGAGTTTAAGTTTCTCGGGGTCTTGTTCACGAGTGAGGGAAAGATGGAGTATGAGATCGACAGGCGGATTGGTGCCGAAACTGCAGTGATGCGAGCGTTGTACCAATCTGTCGTGGTGAAGAGAGAGCTGAACCAGAAGGCAAAGCTCTCGATTTACCGGTCGATTTACGTTCCTACCCTCACCTATGGTCAGGAGCTTTGGGTATGGACATAAAGAACGAGATCGTGGGTACAAGCAGCCAAAATCTGTTTTCTCCGCAGGGTGGCTGGGCTCTCCCTTAGAGATAGGGTGAGAAGCTCGGTCATCCGGAAGGGGCTCAGAGTAGACCCGCTGCTCCTCCACATCAAGCGGAGCCAGTTGAGGGCGCTGCGACCCAAAATGTACCAGAACCGCTCACAGTGCATGCACAAGCCTGTCAAAAAAGGCTCGCCAGGTGTTTTCCTAGTAACACACTTGATTGTTTTTAACTATACACATTTTTTTTCTGCACACAATGACAAGGATTACAAGAAAGTGTGTTTGCTGCGTTTAAGTCAAATTGCACTGATAAAACATTGACTTTTCTTTCTTTCTTCCTTTCTCCTCCAACCCTCATAAATCCCTGTGTGTCCTCATTGTACAGCAATCCCAAAGGACAACAGAATTCAGTAACAACACAATAAAAAGTCTAATGTGTTGTGTAAAAACACTGACGTGGCTGTAGGTCTGACGTGTTGCTACCAGACGTATATTGTGAGCATTCAGCTGCAGAGCGATGAAGGCAGAGACAAAAATTTTAAACAAATAAAAATATATAAAAAGTAGTCAGATGAAAGCAAAGATAGCAATCAATATTAAGGCTATCAATAAAAGTGGCACTATGGAGGGATCACTGAGATTATCCAGATCTAAGGGGAACATTTATTTTAACCCACCAGAGTCTTACTCTACCCACACTTCCTGTCTGAAAAATGCACCAAATGCCTGGATCGACTTAGATATCGGTAAGTATGCATGTAACCGCACTGAGTAACTAAGGAGGGCGGGGCTTAGTGGGGACAGTTTCAAGTTTTATGGTTATTTACAAGGAAAAGAAATTCAGCAGTGATTCAGCCAGGGGCCAAGTCCAGCAAGAACTAGTCATTATTTCTGCCAAGATAGCAAACAGCAGAATATAATATTTGCATCAAAGAACTGATGGCAGAACAAGTGTTTTATCAAAGCTATTATTAAAAAAAAGATGGTGGATGTAAGTGGATGAAGCTGGATTTCTTTTGTTAAAAATTAGATCCACAGTGGTATAAAAAGCCTCACCATGCTAACAGCAGAACACAGAGACTCAAATTCCTTCTTGCTCTTGGCGTAGAAGCCGATTGTACAGCTGGGATCCATGCGGTTGAAGGGCATCTTTTTAGGAGAGCTGCAGTGGAACGACTGCAGAGTAATCAAAGGACAAGTGTTACACAACAAAAAAGTCAACACTCGATTGTTTACAGCTTGAATGGGTGAAACACTATTGACTGTTGAAATGCACTGGAGGGATGACTGTTTAGACACCAAGAGCAAGGTGTGATGAAACATGTGGGTGAGAAAACAAACCTCTGGAGAGAAGTGGACCTGAGTGACGTCGACGACCGACTGACAGAGGTGAGGGTCCAGATAGAGGAGCTGCTCATCTGACAGGAAACACAGAACAAATCATTGCCTTTTCTGGGATTTAGCCATAGAACACGAAGCAGATCCTTCTCACCTTGGAAGCCAATGAAGTAAAGTGAGTGCTTTGGTTTCCCTCCAATTATTCCAATGCAACAATCCAGCTTTAGGATGTTCTGAAAAAGAAACAAGTGTTTTCAGATGGAGAGCCTGAATCTACAGCATGAATTTCCAATCCCGGCCCTCCAGGGCCACCATCCAGATTGCTTTAGTCATTTCCCTGCTCCAAGTCACCTGATCAGCAGGTCATGAAGGTCAGCAGACGGCAACACCAATTCAAATCAGGTTTGTTGGAGCGGAAAAACAACTTAAGACATGTGGGATTGGGACCTTGAGGACCAGGATTGAACATCGCTAATCTAAAGCACTTCGCTCTCAGACTGCAGGTTTACTGGTGGTTCCCAGAAAATCAAAAAATAGGATGGGAAGAAGATCTTTTAACTATCAGGCTCCTCTCTTGTGGAACCAGCTCCCAGCTTTAGTCCGTGAGGCAGACACTTCGTCTACTTTTAAGACTAGGCGTAAAACATTTTTATTTGATAGGGCCTATGGTTAAAATCTGATGTTAGCCCAGATCTGGACAAGTGGGGGAGTACAGGGAGGTGGAGTGTACAGTCGGTAAAGAGGGCTCTCCCTTGCCCTGCCTCCAACATGCCTCCATCTACAAAGGCTAGGTTATCCAGAGTTATTTCTGTTGTTATGCTGCTATAGGCTTAGACTGCTGGAGGACACACTGACCACTTTCCACACTCGACTACTTTCTTCTACCACTACTCTCTAATTGCAAAATTTCCTGCAATTAGAGCTGTTAACTATATTTTTTTAAGTGTTTTTCTCCCAGAAGAAGCTACAATGACGTTCTGCTGAGCTGTGGTAGCCTCATGGAGGGGGCCATCGACTTGAACACTGTTGCTAACCACCCTCTCTTGATAATAACTTTTTGCTTTCCTTGACATTGAATGTGCTACTACTAGTTTACCTGTTTAATTATAGATTCACTAGGATAAACACTATAATGTTTATCTCTCACCAAATAGAATATTTACTGTTGTGTGTGTGGATGTGTGTGTGTGTGTGTGTGTGTCTGCTCTGTCTTCTCAATCCCCAGTGAGTCGTGGAGGATGGCTGCTTATACTGAGCCAGGATCCTCTGGAGGTTTCTTCCTGTTAAAAGGGAGTTTTCCTCTCCACTGTCGCTAAATGCTTACTTAGTATGAGGATTGCTGTAAAGTCACTGACACTAGTCAGTGACTCTATGCAATTTGCTGGGTTCCTTATACAGTAGACGTTTTACTGATTGGCTTAATGACCTGCACACTATTGTAGGGCTGCAGCTATCACATATTTTAGTATTCCAGACCTCTATCGAATCCTCCATCGATTAATTGAGTATTCTATAAGACGACGTTTCAAGTGAAACACGAATGTGGTCTGCTGCAAAAAATATGAAAATTAAACAGCTAAATCATCTAAAGAATAAATAATATATATTAAATTGGTGCTGTCTAGATCCTTCTTTCCGGCTGATATTTATAGTTAATAAATAGTTTTTGGAACAAAATTTTACTTACATTTCATTTATATTTTAGGTTTGACCTCATCCTAGTCCCTATAACCTATCTAAATATATTCACATATCAATAGAATCTATTTATTTCATTAACATGTTCAGTAGTAAGCTCCTGGAAATGCAGGCATTTAATTTCTACTGGTAACAATGTACTTGTGGTACATATATTTTATTATGTACTGGTTGGCAACATAATCTAAATTGTATTCAAATGTAAAAGCGTTAGCGAATTATATGCTACAACGACTTGCCACAGTCCTTCTGCGGTGGATGGAGCAGACTCTAGCAACAACCAGACGCTAGCTGCAGCGCTCTGCTCCACACCGCTGCAGACATCCACACATAAACAAGATGGTGGGGATTTTTCTTCCACCTGTAGAGTTTAGTCGTTCACAACTACAGTGGGGCAAAAAAGTATTTAGTCAGCCACCGATTGTGCAAGTTCTCCCACTTAAAATGATGACAGAGGTCAGTAATTTACATCATAGGTACACTTCAACTGTGAGAGACAGAATGTGAAAACAAATCCATGAATTCACATGGCAGGGTTTTTAAAGAATTTATTTGTAAATCAGGGTGGGAAATAAGTATTTGGTCACTTCAAACAAGGAAAATCTCTGGCTCTCACAGACCTGTAACGTCTTCTTTAAGAAGCTTTTCTGTCCTCCACTCGTTACCTGTATTAATGGCACCTGTTTGAACTCATTATCTGTATAAAAGACACCTGTCCACAGCCTCAAACAGTCAGACTCCAAACTCCACTATGGCCAAGACCAAAGAGCTTTCGAAGGACACCAGGAAAAGAATTGTAGACCTGCACCAGACTGGGAAGAGTGAATCTACAATAGGCAAGCAGCTTGGTGTGAAAAAAATCAACTGTGGGAGCAATTGTCAGAAAATGGAAGACATACAAGACCACAGATAATCTCCCTCGATCTGGGGCTCCTAGCAAGATCTCATCCCGTGGGGTCAAAATGATCAAGAGAACGGTGAGCAAGAATACCAGAACCACACGGGGGGACCTGGTGAATGACCTGCAGAGAGCTGGGACCACAGTAACAAAGGTCACCATCAGTAACACACTACAATGGCAGGGAATCAAATCCTGCAGTGCCAGACGTGTTCCGCTGCTGAAGCCAGTGCATGTCCAGGCCCGTCTGAAGTTTGCCAGAGAGCACATGGATGATACAGCAGAGGATTGGGAGAATGTCATGCGGTCAGATGAAACCAAAGTAGAACTTTTTGGTATAAACTCAACTCGTCGTGTTTGGAGGAAGAAGAATACTGAGTTGCATCCCAAGAACACCATACCTACTGTGAAGCATGGGGGTGGGAACATCATGCTTTGGGGCTGTTTTTCTGCTAAGGGGACAGGATGACTGATCCGTGTTAAGGACAGAATGAATGGGGCCATGTATCGTGAGATTCTGAGCCAAAACCTCCTTCCATCAGTGAGAGTTTTGAAGATGAAACGTGGCTGGGTCTTCCAACACGACAATGATCCCAAACACACCGCCCGGGCAACAAAGGAGTGGCTCCGTAAGAAGTGTTTGAAAGTCCTGGAGTGGCCTAGCCAGTCTCCAGACCTCAACCCCATTGAAAATCTGTGGAGGGAGTTGAAAGTCCGTGTTGCTCGGCGACAGCCCCAAAACATCACTGCTCTCGAGAAGATCTGCATGGAGGAATGGGCCAAAATACCAGCTACTGTTTGTGCAAACCTGGTAAAGACCTATAGTAATCGTTTGACCTCTGTTATTGCCAACAAAGGTTATGTTACAAAGTACTGAGTTGAATTTTTGCTATTGACCAAATACTTATTTTCCACCCTGAGTTACAAATAAATTCTTTAAAAATCCTGCCATGTGAATTCATGGACTTTTTTTTTTCACATTCTGTCTCTCACAGTTGAAGTGTACCTATGATGTAAATTACTGACCTCTGTCATCATTTTAAGTGGGAAAACTTGCTCAATCGGTGGCTGACTAAATACTTTTTTGCCCCACTGTATCATGTTTTTTCTGAACCACACTTGCTCGTGAAAATGCTACCCGCTAGCTTAGCATTAGCATTTCTGCTCGTAGTTTAACTCTTGATCCCAAACTTTGGACCATTTCTGCCTTTTACAATGGTTTCTGTCTTTGCTGGTTCCTCTTTTGTCCTCCACGGCACCTAGGTTACCACGTTGTGCACCAGTAAAATGCCTTCAGACTGTGGAGCTCACATTTAACGAAGCTTCGAATTAGGGATGTCCCGATCCGATCACATGATCGGAAATCGGTCCCGATCACGAGGGTGTGTCCGAATCCACGGGAAGGAAGCTTGTAAAAGTGCGATGACGTCACAGAGCAGTGACGAGTACTGTCCGAATTCCAAGAATACTCATTCTCGCGTCCTCAAATGCGGCCTCGCTCCGCCCACATTTCGAGGACGGGTCTGTTGTATCTGTCACTGGGTGTGTCTGAATCCACAGGAAGGATGCTTATGAGCACGGGTCCTCGCCGGTCTAGCAAGGCCGGGTCCTTGAAGCATCGACATTAATATCAGCATGTAGTATTTATATAGTTGATACAATTGAGATCATCTTAAAAACTCCGTCCCATGCCCACGGGCGTATCTAAGCATTTTGGGGGCCAAGGCAAAATAGACCCCTGCCAGGTATTTTAAGTTGAAGAGCTATCTGCTTTTATATTAGACTTTTTATATTTGCAATAAAGTCCAAAAGTGAAGAATTTATGTTATTTATTGCTTGGTTGTTCAAGCTACCTCACAGAAGTGGTCTGTTGTTAAAAATTAAAATAAAAAGGTAATTAAATAAAAAGTAAGGAACATTCTGGAACTGTTTCTTCCTTTTCTTTATTTAAATTTGTTTTTATGTATCGAAAGTATCAGATCGGGACTCGGTATCGGCAGATTCTCAAAATCAAATGACTCGGACTCGAGGGCAAAAAAACCTGATCGGGACATCCCTAGTTCGAATGAGTAAAAACTAAAACGGGGAATTTAATAAATCGAACCACTCGAATCATTCGATGATTGGTTTCAGCCCTACTCTATTGGAATGTTTACATTGTGAAGTGCCTTGTGTTGAGGGTCTGCCCTCGTCAGAAATAATCACTGTGCAGTGATTTTCTCCAAAAAGACTGTGCTAAATATGCTCTGAAAAAGCAGATAACATCAGCGCCAGAGACACTTCATTTCCCATGATGCTTTACACACGGAAGCAATGTGATGACGTCACCACAACAACAGCTCCCGTCTCTCTGTAAAAGGAGAGAAAAACAAAACTTATGTGTTCTTATGCCCAGTTCACTGGCTGTAAAAGGACGCTCATGGCACGCTCCGATCAACGTGAGCCGAACCGAACCGCTAAAAGCTGGGTTTGGAAACCCAGCAAATCTACTCTTTTCTGCTCAACTCCAGCTGATGTGAAGGAAACGATCGCTGACTGATAAACAGCAACTCCATCAGGACCTGGCTGGGAACGAGCGGAGCTCCATCCAGCTCTCAGAGACGCTGTAAGTCATCAACTCAGCACAAAAAGAAACTTTGCTCTCTCTGTCCAGCCCGTGGAGAAACACTCGTGGGGAGAAACAATGGAGAAATCATCTGACCTGCAACGCGAAAGAACAAAAGGGACGCCTTTCGGTTCGCTCACGCAAAAGTTTGATTTTATGTTATCTCCTCTCCTCCTCTCTTATCTTTTCCGTTTCTTATAGTTCACAATAAGCAGTTACACCGTGCATTGCTTCAAATTGTCAGACGGTTTCGGAAAGTTGAGAACTGGACACAATCAGTTCTGTGTGTGAGAGAGGGAGGGGAGAGCCCCACACACACTCACAGCTTACAGCACACAGCTCATTCCTCCAGCCTTATCAGACACACACTCCCCCGCGCACCTGGGAAAACAAAGCATCCATTTCACACACACACACACTCACACACACACTCATGCGTGTTTTTAGTGTTTGTGGGGACATCCTCCATTACACACACACACACACACACCTCTTCAATTATATCAAACTGTTTTGCATTATTAACCTCCTTGTTTAGTTAAATGTTATAAAATTCAGATTTTTCCTCAAGAGACTTTGTTTGTGTTGGTTGAAATTTCTGCTCCTAGGATTCTACGAACATTTCAGATAGACTGATAAGAGTTTGGATTCAAATTTTCCCCGGTAAAAGGGGATGGTGCCCCGAAGATACTTAATTGTATCTTAATTAATTAATGACTCGGTAAATATTCCCATATTTACAGAATTTATTGAAGAATCCAAAAGTAAGTTAAAACGTACTAATTATTCGCTCCTAATTACCCCAACACTTGAAAAAACTCTTGTCATGATTTGGTGCTTTATACGTAAATAAATTGAACTGAAATGGATTAAAGCCAGAGGTGGGTGGATCAGAGAGCAGACATTACCTTAACACATTCGATGTAGGATGGATTGAGGGCTTCTCCTCCAAGCCGGACAGGAACCAGGATGATGACGGACTTCCAGGGTTGGCAGGAAGGATCTCCGGGATTCTGACTTTGTGACAGATCACAGAGACGTACCACATCCTCTTTGTACACTGACAGGCAAACAACACATGAAGAGGAAGGGAAGCAGGTGTTTGGTGTACCAGTCAAATCTCATAAAACCTTAAAACTCAACAAACAACCTGTAACTCACCTGTGCAGTCTTGAGCCACGTATACAGTCAGGTTTTGGCTCAAAGAGGCTTTAGCTACTGCTTTCCTAGCAAAAAAGAAGTGGCATCATTAAAAACTCTCCACCTCTCAACGTGTGATGACACCAGTAACCACTGAAACCATGATAGTAGAAACCATTCTGCTCAATCACTCACCTCAGTATGTGTGCCACTACGGAGGGGCCGTACCAGTCGCCAGCCTTCTTCCCTGAACCTTTGCCGATTTCCACCAGCTGATGAACACCAAAAGGTGTTGGAGGCTGATCTCCAAACCAGCTGAGGAGCTTGTAGTGGTTTGCCTCCACTTGCTGCTCTACAGCAGACTCGGGTCTGCTCTTCTGGCTGCATTTGGGGGCCTGACCGCTTGTCTGGGGTTTCTCAGGGGTGCCGGACCCACGTGGAGAGCCGAAAGAGGGAATGGGGAAGCCTCCGGCCCGTACTGGGGAGCGTGGTCGAAACACCTCGAAGTCCACATCAGTCAGCTGATGAGCATCTGGCCAAACCCAGTCTACAGGTCAGAAAAAGGATTAATCTAGTAAATTAGAGCGGCTTCATCCCCTCATCTGAAGCATTTGAAAACATGACGTTTCATTTCAATCATGTGACTGAAAGCTGCGCTTCATTGAATTTGTTCATCACTAAAATGGCGCCAGCAGCAAGGCAGAAGTGACTGGTTGAGCCTGAATTCTACACAGACACAATCAGGCTTCAGTGAGACCAGCTGCAGCCCTCAGCCATGTGCAGACTTGCAGCTTTCATATAAAACACATCGGGGCGGGCGGTATTACGGTATTACCAGATACAGCCGGTGTTAAAAAATAACAATGGTGCCTGCAGGACACAAGGATTACAAAAATAAAACTAAATAAAAGTGTGAAACACAAGCATGGTTGAAATTTCTGTTTTATTTAAATAGTTTTAAATCTTCTGTACAACTTTTAGACACTTTCCATGAAGTTTGTGAACGTGATGTCATCGTGATCGCGCGGAGACCCGCTGAGAGAAAAATGGCAGCTCGTGCACCAGCTGACTTGGTGTCTAAAAAGAACAATTTCAGCAGTTTGGGACTATTTCTGGTTTGAAGGCAACTTAAAAGGCAAGCCAGTAAACACTGATAAGTGTTCATTTGTGCAAACAAAAGATGACCACCCCGTCGGAACCGCCGAGGAGTGAGCCGTAGCTGAAATAGCAGACTTCTGTCTGGAGACCGTTATTAAAAGAGACAACAACAAACCTTTCTAGTAAAAATAAGCAGGCGGGTGTTTGCCACAAGCTCATCGAAGTGGGTTTTCAGTAGAGGCCGATCGATATATTCAATTTTTTTCTGTAACAGCAGAAATTATTTTTAAAAGCCGATAAAATAAAAACCAGGCACCTGTGTGGCCCAAACACAAACACCCAAAGGGCCCCAACACACCAGGGGTGTTTCTCAATGTCAAGGCGCCTGGCCTTGCAAAGCGATGTCTTGCGAGAACAGGCGCCTTGCTTACGAGGACACGGTCCTTCCTTGGTCAAAGAAAACGGTTAAATGGAGCAGACTTGCATCACGTGACCGCGGCTTCCACGGCGGTCACGTAACGTCACGTGACACGGGAGATAACGTTATATTTCATATGTATTCATTTCAATATAAATATATAACAAGTCTTCTACTTTTTAAATTGTGTATATGTTTATTAAATTAAAAATATAAATGAGTTACTACCCGCTAGCCACCGAAGCTGCAACTACTAAGCAACTAACCAACCATAGATAACTTCTTTGGATCTAAAAAACATTTTAAATTAGTTGACTTACTTTTAAACTTGAAAATTGTCCCTGAAGTTTCTGCCAGCTTCTGATCTGCCGTCCTTTTGAAAATACTGCAGTGTATTGTGGGTAATTTTTGGCTAAGGCTAGGCTACAAGACACCTCCCGTGTATCCTTGCTCAGCTAGCTAAACGGCTAACAAACGGAGAACACACGCCTCAGTAGAACATGAACATTGGAACACGTCTTGGCGGTTCCTGATGACGTATCTCCTAGGCAACCGGGGCGGGGCCAAGGCATCAAGGCAAGGTTCCTTGGCATTGAGAAACACCCACCGTTTTTCTTAACTCATTCGCTGCCAGCCGTTTCCTGATCGGCAAAGCCCTTTGCTGCCAGCGTTTCTCACCATTTTTACTGTTTTTTTAACAGTCACAGAACGTTGCACACTAGGATGATGTCGACGCCAAAACAAAGCAGAGACTCACCTCTTACATCAGGGAGAATCCGCGCGTTTCGAGCTTTATCCGTTCTTTCATAATCCGTTGTTGAATTGTGATCGGCAGAAGCTTTTCCGGTTCGCACCTCACTTTTTTTTTTTTTTTACAGGAACGGCCCAAAACGATCTCCTAACACATGGATTATTCTGCCTCCTGATCACGTGACGTGTGACGTATGTGGATGGAGATCGGCTTTAGAGCTGAGATGTTTGTTCACAGGGTGTGGGGGCTCGTTCCGACGCCCACACAGTAAAAAAAAAATGTAAATGACGACTTTAGTCGTCATTGGCAGTGAATGAGTTAATGTTTTGGGTTTGTTTTATATTTGAAGTTCAATAAATATTAAGAGATTTATTGACTTATTTAATTTATATTGCACACCGAGTTTTCAGTTGTCTTTCGCAATCAATGTGCTGCTAAAACACACACAAACACACACTGGCCTTAATGATTGGCATTAGATATCGGCCATCGACAACAAAGTTCTTTAAAAATCTGTATCGGTCGGCCTCTAGCTTCCAGCAGTCGGTGGTTGAAGCCGGAAAAGGTAAACATGCTGGTTTGTCAGCTGAAAAATCTTTTTATAAGCTGCATTTATTTTAGATTGTTAATATTATGTGTGTTATGTTGTTATTGTTTTAGTAAAAGTGTTTCTTATTCAGTTTCTGAACGGTGAAGGTCCAAACCAACAGTTTGGCAATTTCACTTGAGGCTAACGTCATCATTTTTAAATTAGTCCTGGTAATAACATACACCTTGGTAAAACATGGAGGAAGCTAGACGGTATTAGAATACTTACTGTTGCTGGCTTTTGTTTTCTGATTGAGTAAAGTCACTTGATCAGGCCTTTTATACATCCCACAATATGAAATAAGTAGAAGTATGTATGATACTGAATGAATACTGAAGGCTGCAATATTGGTATCGTATCGGAAGTGAAAAAAGGTGTATCAGGACGGGACAAGCCCAATTTTACATCAGTCAACCATCAGAAGATGCTGATCGGGTCACAAACTGGCTCCAACATCAGGAAAACAGAGAGACAGAGACAGACCCTCACCTCTGGGCAACAGATGGACCACCAGCCCCTGTGCCAGCAGCATCTGGCCACTGCGAAGCATGCAGCCCCACCCACAGTCGGTGGTCCAAGTGGAGCCCTCCAGCTGAGGAAACTCCCTCCGGTAGGTCAGCCAGATCCTGGACACAAACGCTCCGCGGAATCTCTCCACCTCATCTGAGAGGAAAGAAGGGACGGTAAAAAACTAGAGTCCATTCTAGTGAAACGTGTTTCTAACAACCGGTTTAGTCTTCTCATGTGAAGCCAAAGAGGCTGCAGAGAGGAGCGGTCTAACCATGGCGGTAAACCCAAACCCACAACACCAAAGAGATGCTTTTCTGTGTTTCTCTACCACGGAGAGAAAACGCTGCCCTGTTGTTTTTACCTTCGCTGCTGAGCAGATACGAATGCCCCAGGATGGTGACTGGAGAGACTTTGTTGAAAGAGGTTTTAGTCTTAACAGTCCAGCCTGTAGTTAAAAGAGGAAATGTTGACACAGATGACTTCCAAACCACTGATGTGTGGACATGTCTATAAATTACAGAAGAGCGTGATTCGATCTCTACCATATTTGACGTTATTCCACGCAGACACGAGTTTAGCTTTGAGCTTGTCCATCTCGTCTGGCTCTTCAGCTGCTTCTCGACTGCCTGGGTCTGACAGCGAGGGTGGCCTGGGACCCAGGCTGCCCTGTCGTTCCAGTGGCCGCTGCCTCCGACTCTCCACCCACTCATCCTGCATCACAGTGCCGACGTACTGCACCGCGCTGGGGGAAACAGAGTTCATACCTCAACCTCCTCAGATCT